AAGATAGTTCACTCCCCTTCGAGAAGTGGCCGAAACACGATCATCCTCGTTTCTATAGTGAGGGTGGAGGCCAGCCATGATCCTAGGGAGGGTCGTCTTAGCCCCTGGAAGCCTCTTGCCGATAAATTCTTGACCGAGCTTGAAGCATCGTCGGGACGTATACGCCCCGCACGTGGTGCAAAACATCATGCTAGAAACTTTATGCTTGCGCGTGACGAACGTGTGCGCAAGGGTGTGCCCTTTGGTGAAGTCGAGAACCCCTTTCCAAGTGCTATTCGGCCCTCGGCAGCCTAGTTCAGGCCGACTGTCAGGGCCGCCACTAAACAGCAGGCAACGCAAACACCTGGCACTGCCCCCGTCGAGTTTTTCCCAGTGGTGCCAGCCTCCAGTCCGTAAAAACTTACATCTCGGTCCAGACTGGGGCCGCTCGAATTTCTCGACGGGGAAAACGCACAAAACTTTGGCCATGAGCTTGGCCGCGAACACTACTTTATCTATATCATCGCTAACTTCTTGGTACTCCGCGGGAGAGGCCTGAGGGTGGAGGAGGAGGGCTTGCTTGGCTAAAGTATCAGCGGCTTGGTTACCTATAGCAATCCTTCTCTCAGGCCCTGGGAGACTATCGATGACCGCTTGAGAGCGGTGGGCAGGCGTGTGAATAACTCTGTACTCGTGGCCCTGTTTCTCATGCAGAGACGCCCCACGTCGCATTCCCGCATAGCGGTGTCTACTCGATATCTGATGCTGCACAGGGGTGTTACACAACTTAGTAACGGTGGCACTGTCCGAGTAACGATCCCCGCTACGCTCAACAAACAAAGGAACCAGCGCCATGGCCTGGTGTTCGGCCGCCTGCGGGGTCTGCTGGAGCACGTCCAGCACCGTTCCTTGAGCATAAGCAACCATTGACCCTGTCGGGTCCAAAAAGACCCAAGCGTAGGCGGCCCGAGACAGCTCCCTCACAACATAACGAGCACAAGAACCGTCCATACAAATGTCCAGGCCCTGGAGGTCAATGGAGTCCCAAACAATTTCCTGTCCCTCGGGATTGAACAACTTCGGGTTGGAGTCGTTACTAGGGGGAGGAAGCTTCGACCCAGGATGGTCCATCTTGAGCTCGTCCCAGAAGCAGTGATCCGTGCTCTCGGTCGCCTCCAGCAACCATTCGGGGTGATCGACAGCCGCATCTTGCCGAGCCTGGACAGCATCGTGATGTCGGCATTTCCATACGCGGTGCCTGATTCCATCAGGCTCGCCACAGAGTGAGCACTGCCGTCACTGACGTAGCCTGCAGCTCTGGCTCTGGCCCTGGTCCAGAGTCCCTCGCAAAACACAGTGGTGACAATGTATCTTTCCCTCGGGGCCAACTTTTTGGACTCGGGGCACAACAAACGGACCAGGGGTTCGGTGCACACGCGCGTCCCGTTGAAGGACGGCAGAAGGCTCGCCAAAACTCTCTCATGGTGTCTTTGTGTGCCGAGCTGCAGCAACTGACCAATGAGAGCAGGCGAGTTATACCCAAGATGCACGACTCTTTCAGTGTCGTCCAGCCACGTCAAGGCAGACACACTGCGCCACCCAATACGATGTAACGACAAATGCATTCTCTGGATGGGCCCTCGCGAACTCTTCCACGTGACCCCTTTCATCCATGGGAACCGAACCCCACATCTGACATAATTCCTTAACATTGTAGTGCGAGGAGGAGGGGAAGGTGAGGGCAGTCCAAACGATGTGCGCCCAGTGCAACGCTGGCGCAACTCCCGCTCTCCAAACGGGGTCCCCCATGAGCGCTAACTTGGCATGAAACGACACCCCCCGGCGATAAGGAAGTTTGCAGGTCAACATGACTATTTGAGCTTCCTGAAGCTCGGTGTCGTTAAGCCCTCCGACGGCCGCTCCAAACGTAGCAGCAGGGGAAACACCCGCAACGTAAATCTTGCCAATCCGTCCCTTTTGGCGAGGTAAGCGGTCACGGTACCTTTTTCAAAATCTTGTGCCGAGCGTGCATCTGCCTGACGCTGTCGACGTTTCCACCCCGCGTTTTTGGCTCCCCGACGCTGTCCCGTGGCCAGATCCGTGCCCAGCACCACCGCACTATTGGTGACCGTGCCAGCCATGCCACCGAGCAGTCTGCCAAGCTTACGTGCAAGAGGCAACGAGCTAGTGAAAGTGGTAAGCTTGTCCGCCTGCAGCTGCACCTTCAAATAGTCACGAAAGATAATGTACATGGCCGCTGCAGCCCTGCACATTCGGTCGAGAACCTCGGTCTCGGACTCACCATCCGTAGTGAGGGAGTCGTCGTCAACATAGCTGCTCAAAGGGACCAGCGGGTGCTCCAATGCGAACTGGTCGAAAGCCTCTATGCTATAAACCTTAACAAACAAATCATTGAATATGTCACCCGCTGGTAACCCCGACTGGGCAAAAACAGGGGCATCGGCGTACTGGGCGCCTAGCCTCAGGAGCCTGGGTCCTCGCCAGAAATTGTACGTCGTTTTGGCAATCACAGGGTTAAAACCGTGGACCAAAGCGCGCTTCTTCAACAAATCCAGGTCGAAACTCTCATAGTATTTGGTCCCATCCCAAATCACCCCCACCGTTTGCTTGCCAGAATGCGCCGCCACCTCGGCCCTGGTAGCCTGATGCCACACCGCATCTTCCGCACTACGACCAGAACCGAAAGCCCAGAAACGTCGGTGATATTTGTCGTTAAAGCTGAGAAGTTCGGGTCTTCTCAATCTCCCCCAAACGCGAACAGGCCCAGCGCACAACAAGATAGGCCGAAGCCCACCTTTCGGTTTTTCGAGCAGGGGGAAGAGCATCCAAAACAGTTGTTTGGGAAAGAGGCCAAGGCTTTCCACAGCTTGGTACAGCGCCGACAAAGTTTCCAGAGCCGCGTCCGACACCAGCGACAACTGACGGGGATGCACTCCATCTAAGGATTGCGCCGTGAGGGAAGAAAAACTAGCACTGGCACTGCGAATAGCTTCGGGCGAGGCCCTAGGAAGGTGCACACGGTCGGGAACATCAACAAGCGCAGGCTTGCCTGAAGCATGCCAAAAACGAGAGAGCGTGTCACGCTCAGCCCTCAGCAAAGCCTGAGGGTCACTACTGAACTGTCCTGGGGCCGACTCGGCAACCGTGGGGATCCATTTCTGTTTCAACTTAGTGAGTCTACGCATGGCCCTGGCACCCCCTTTCAACGCCTTCTCCTGCCATTCATCCCAAGAGTCCTGCTTGGCCTTCCCGGGGCCCCTCTGCGCTGCTACGCGGTCGTCCTCCCACGAGTCGAGGTGCTCGCGCAGCTCTTGCACCCATCTCTCGAGCGAGGACGGAGGCCACTGCTGCAAGAGAGTCCTAGCCGACTGGACCGTCGCGTCCAGCCTTGCCGACAAGCCCTCACCAGGGCACGGTTCATTTAAAAGTCGTTGCACTTGCTGTGCGGTGTCGTTCGCCAAGCTCTCACCCCGCACAGTGTCCGTCGAAGAGTCTTGCGCGGCCGCCAGCAGCCGATTCGCCACGCCAAGAGTCTCTGAAACATGCTGCGATAACCAAACCCAGCCGTGGTTAACCAGCTCGGTGCAAGCACTTTTAGGGGTGGAAAAGATGGGAACCCAAACAGCTTTAGGAGTCACGCCTTTGAGACCTTTATCCTTAATCGGCACCCCCATGAAACTTTCGAGCTCAAGCTCCAAACAATTAGAAAACGACTGCCACGCCTTCGTGAGGAGTTCCCAGGCGAATCCAACGGGGCTCTCGAGGGCAGCTCGCGCCGCGGTTTCGGCCATATCTCTGGGGACGCTCCAATCCTGTGGCTGAGGCTGCGGTCCGCAAGGAAGCTCGACGGGAAGCCTCTGATGACAACGATAAACAAGCTGGTACAGGTGCGTGGCCTGATCCTTGAGCAGTAATCTCACAGGATGGCGCGGTCGGGAGCTCCAACTACGATCACACTCGACCTTGCTCACGGCTCGGGTGAAGGTCGCACTGCAAAGAAAGAAATCGATAGTGCCAAGAGCATTGGCACTGACACAAGTCTTACCTGGAGGAACAAACAGCAGCGAGCCGAGACGTCTCGACAGACCTGACATTTCAACCAGGGCAGGGTCCAAATTCCAATCCCCGCCGACGACAAAAAGCTTGTCATGCCCTAACGTGCGTCCGATGGCTTTCAGATAAGACACGTTTCGATCACACATGCCCGTGCCGCTCTTCAGGTGCACACAAACAACCGACAGAGGGGGCCACTGTGGGATGTCCACAACCACTTTCATGATTCGAGACGGCACAATGACGCCGCCGCCGAACGGCCATCTTAGGCCGATGTGGGCCCGCACCAGAACCGCCACCCCCCATTTAGGCCTACCTTTGGCCCCGACCGTCGACGGGGAAGCCTGCATTTTCCACCCCAGCTTACCCACAGCCGCGCATTTCTCCCCCAAGGTGTCCTCCGTGAAACCAACCTCTTGGGCCAGAAAAATGAGGGCCGAACTGGCAGCCAACCTATCCCTCAGGGTCCCCCAGGAGTTGCCGTTATAGGACTCCAACACTTCACCATAGCCAGGCGAGCCCTCACAGTCGGGGTCGAGGCGAGGAGGGGCGGGGGGAGGCTGCACCGTGCCTGTGCGTGACAGGCGAAAACCACAGCACCTAGGTAAAAGTGGTGGGTTACCCCAAGCGCTGTCGCTTGGCCAACAAATCTGCAAGCTGCGCGTGGTAATTACGTTTGTCCACGCGCTGCGCTGCCCAGAAGAGTGCGTCCATCTCCTGGTCCAGCTCTGAATCTGGTGGTACTTCTTGATGTACACCACCGAGGTCGCCTCCTCCTCCAGCTGCTCGTGCTTCGTTGCCAGCCGTGGCTGGTGGTGTACTTGGCGCAGCTGGTGGGGGCGTGCACGCTCCATCATGGGTGGTCGCGGCAGGTGGTGTGCCGCTGGCGGTAGCTGCGTCACGCGCCGCTGCAGGTGCCTCGCTCCGCTGACCCATCCGAACATCACCGTCTTGATCAAAGGGCGAAGTCGCAGCCCGAGAGCTGCTCTGCTTCGCCTTGGCCTTCCTCGAGAGGGCCTCCTGGTAGAGCTTGAAATGGGAAGACTGGAAGAGTGCCTCGAGCTGAGCTTTCTCCTCGTCGTTCTCCGCCAAATCCTGCATATCGAGTCCAACTTCTTTCTGGGCCACAGAGGAAGGTAGTGTCGCCACGAGTTCACCTCGTAGTTGCTCCACCTCTTTTGACGCCAGCAAGTGTTGTGACTGTAGGCTGTCCAACTTCTCTTGAGCCAACCTAAGCACATCGATCTGTTCGGAAACCTGAGCTGATATCTTCTCGACCTTGGCCTCAGCCCGCTGCAACCGATGTCCGATGTTAGTGTGGACGGTAAGCTCAGGCTTGAGGCTCGATAGCTGCTTGCGCGCTTCGGACAACTGTGCATCCAGAACAGCCTTGGCCTCGTCACAATTGGGCACCTTATCCACTGCGGTGCGGGCCTGCTCCAGCTGCTTGATGTTGTCCCGGATCGCTTGTTCTTTACGTTCACTCTCACTCTGTTCTGGTGGCGAACCTGTGCTGACGGACCCGCCAGCATTGTTAGTACTGCCACCAGTGCCACTCCCGACCAATGTATCATACTTCTTCTGTAGTTCGGCAAGCTGCTTGGAGAGCTTCGCCGATGTGATACTGCCTGAGCGGGCCCCGAGCAACTGACGAGGCTGGAGACCACCAGCAGGACCACGTTGAGCACGCTTTGCATTCCCACGGGCTGCCTTGGCCACCGCCGCTGGGGCGGGTTTGCCGCAGCGGCAAGCCAGGCGCGATGCCCAGTTTGACGAGAGCCCACAAGAACACGGCCAGAATGGAGCGCGCGGACCTGGCAAGACGTCGACGCCATCTGCCATGGGGCGCTCCTCTGGCACGGATAGGGAAGCCTCAGGGAGGCGCAATCACTCTGTTGCCACAATGACTCGCAGCAGCGGCTGCCGCTCTGAAGACTGCTGCTGCAAGCCCAAAAACTTGGGCCAGAACGGCTGAGGAGAGAGGAGGAGGAGGAGGAGGATGGAGGAGGAGGAGGAGGAGGAGGAGGAGGAGGAGGAGGAGGAGGAGGAGGAGGAGGAGGAGGACGGGTCGCCTGAGCCCTTCGGAGAAACCCTCCGCCCGCCAGCGAGTACCTGTCACACGTTGCCGCCGGAAGACAACAGGAGCCAACAGACGGAAGCGGCCGGACGTCTGGGCAGATGCCGAGGCCGCCGCTCTCCCCGGGCCTCGCCCTGGGGAGGAGCGTCCCGGCCCGGCACCTCGACTGGGCGGAGCCGGCCGCGGCGACGAAGGCCTCCCTCTGCCCAGGAAGCCCCAGACTTCGGTCGGGCAGGTCCTCCCACAAGGGGGGTTCTGGACGGAGAACCAACATAGGCAGGCACATTCCAACGCGAGCCAAGAATGCGCCCGCGGCGGGCTTCTTCAGAGCCTCGCAGACTGCCGACGACCCCGCCGCCCCCTCACTCTTGTCCGCAACTGCGGGGTGCGTACCGACAAAGTAAGGATGCGCGGTAAGGATGCAAGGGCCTTGGACGCCCATGTAGAGGCTCTTCGAGCGGGGCTGGCCGCCGAAAGTGGTTCAGGATGGGCCGAAGATGACCGGAGAGGCAAGGACGCAGGGCACCCTTGGGAATAAATCGATCCTCCTCCGACTGCGGGCTGACAGTGCTGTATGGATGCCGCTTCCTCCCCTGAGCCTCAGGAGCCCCCAGAGGGCTCGGAACTGTCCCCAGGACAGGTGCTTCTCACCCTGCATCGTTTGTGGACGGCCCCGAGGCCCGCAGCGGGCCCGCGGAGGCCGAAGACGACCGAACCCCGCGTCGCTGTTCCTACGACGCGATGATGTCATTGTTTAAGGACCGACCGTTTCGGCATCCCTAGCCGCCTACCGCGACATGCTCTTAGAACCCAAATAATGGTCGAAACACCAGAACAATGTTCTTGGAAGATGAGCCCGATGCCTTGGAACAAGACAGCCTCACCCAAGAACGTTCCGAGCACACTTCGAGCAGACCCGGAGAAAGCTTCTTAGAAACATCTCTGGTGGGCCTATATTATGGCCTCCCACCTGGGGTCCGAGTAGATTGGGTCGAAGGATCGCGCCGCATCGCCAACGTATCGCCAATGTATCGGCGATGCATCGGCGATGCATCGGCGACGTCGGCGACGCATCCGCGACGCGGGCGTGGGGAACATCGGGCCTCACATCGAGCCCCAGCGTCGACGCACCGGCGATGCGGCGCGGTCCTCCGACCCCACGTGCCCGGACCCCATCTAGGAGGCCCAGATTATGTCACTGCCCCGACCTTGCAGACGTGCTGCAGCGGATTGTTGCGTGGATTTCTGCCCATGCATCACCCAGAACTGTCGAGTGAAAAACGAAGTGAATTTCGCGTGGATGTGTTTTAGTTTTCATTCCTGGCGAAACAATCCGCACGACATTCACCTCGAAATCCAGAACGAAATCCTTCAGGACAGGCTGGGCCCATGCAATCGTTTTCTGAACGAAATCCGCTCTGCGATGTTGGCGCCATGATTACAGGGAAAACAGGACGCTTCGCCACTGCTCGCACGTCCTGATCAAGGACAGACCGTTCCGTCATCCCTGTAGTAGGCCTACCGCGACATGTTCTGAGAACCAAGACAGCCTCGTCCAGGAATGTCCTGAGAGCACTTCGAGCAGACCAAGCAAAAGCACATTAGAAACCTCTCTGGTGGGCCTATAAGGCAAGACAGGATTCTTCGGCGCTCCGCGCGGACTTCTTGGATTCGCGCTGGAGCCCCCTCCCTGGCGCGCGGAGCGCGCCAGGGGCGGCGCCGGAGGCGCCGCTGGGGGGCCAGCGCGGCTCCGAGATTAATCCGCGCGGAGCGCCAGAAGTTTATGTGTATGGCGTTTTTTCTTCGAACGATCGAGGCAAGACGGGCCGCTTCGCCACTGCTCGCACGTCCCTAGAGATCCGATGTCGTCTTTTTTGTCAATGCGGGGTCCCTGGAGGTCCCGACCCCTTCCCTGGGGCTGGTTTCTCATCCCGAGTCGTTTTTTGACGGTCCTGGGGCCCAGCGGGGGCCCCTGGAGGCTGAGAGGGGCGAAAACCCTCCGTCTTGACCTTTGTCCATGCGTTGGGTCCCTCTGATGGCCGCTCCGCCCCGGGGAGGAGGCACGATGAGGGAGAAGGGAGGGGGATGCGCGAAAGGGGAGGCACGATGAGGCATGGGGGAGGGGGCCGGGGCAGGAGGAGGGAGGCACGAGGCGGGAGGGGGGCAGGGAAGAAGGGGGCGGCGAGGAGGAGGGGGCGGGGAAGACGGAGGGACGACGAGGAGGAGCGCTCGCCCCTTGCTCGCACGTCAATCAATGTCTGGGCCCCCGGGGCCTGCGCCGCCGCCGCGGCGGCCGGCGCCTCCGCGGAGGGCCCCGCCGCCGCGGGCCCCGGCCCCTCGGCGGGCGGGCCCCCGGCGGGCCGCCAGCCGCCGAGGCGGCGCAGCACCAGGCGGAGGCCGCCGGTGAGCAGGCGCGCGGTGCCTCGGCGGCGCGAGGGGGAGGGGCAGCGATGGGAATCCCCAGACCTCCTCGCGCTGTGGAGCAAATCGCGGCGGGAGGTGTTCGTGGTTTTCGGCCTCCGGGGGCCCTTCCCTGGCCTCGGGGCCGTCAAGAAAGGACTCAGGAAGAAAAACCGGTCCCGGGGAAGAGGTCCAGACCTCTGGGGGTCGAAGTTGTGAAAAAATCACGACGTCGGGGGTCTGGGTGAGGGGCAACGATGAGGTTATGATGTTCCAACCTACTGTTGCCTTGATCACCAGAGAGAACTCCGAGCACCCAAAAAATATATACCCAAACTCGCGGGGGTTGACGTGTCGGGCCCTGGGAGACACTCGTCCGACATGTTTCGACACGTTGTCCGAGTGCTCGAAATTATTTCCAGGATGTGGTCCTGAAGTACGATGGGAGCAACATAACGATAAGGGGGACTGGCATAGGGGGAGATGCATCAACCTGGAATCGGCGATACATCGCCGATAGATCGGCATTCTGCCCCAGATAGTGAGTCCGCACCTTCCTGGGCGGGCTGGGGCTATCGGGCCCCCATCGGCGATCAATGGGCGGTTGGGGGTCGATGCATCCCCCCTATGCCTATCCTCCCCGATCGTTGCCCCCGAAAGGGGGGTGCTGGGGTTACGTCGGGCATGTCCCCCTACAGGGGAATTTTAGACGAAAAAATTAGTATACCCCAAAGATATCCCCAAATACTAACACAAATGCTTCAAAAATTGTCCCCACAATTTTTGGACTATTTCTGAATATTCCTCCTGTGGAGAGACTGGCCCGACTTAAACCAAGGGGGGCGATCGGGGGAGGGGGGAGGCTTCTTGGAGCCCAGACCGCCTCGCGCTGTCACTGCACCGACCTTGCAGACGTGCTGCAGCGGATTGTTGCATGGATTTCTGTCGATGCAAAACCTCAAAAAGGAGAGGGCGAGTGAAACACGAAGTGAACTTCGCGTGGATGTTTTTTATCTTCATTCCTGGCCCCAAAAAACCCGCACGAAATTTACATCGAAATCTGGAACGGAATTCTCCATGACACTCCTGGCAGCTTCTGGAGGACAAATAAAAATAGTCCAAAAGAATTCGAATCATGCGACCGAACATAATCACGAAATCGTCCTGGACTGCTTTTTTATGACAAATCACATATGTTTGAGCACTCCTCCTGAAGAGGGGCACGCCCGACCTAATGCTGGGGGGAGGGGGGGAGGCTTCTTGGAGCCCAGACCGCCTCGCGGCGCTGCGGGACAATCGCGACGGGAGGCTTTTTGGTCGCGGTTTTTGTGTGTCGGCCTCCGGGGGCCCTGCCGGGGCCTCGGGGCCGTCCAATCGAAGCCAGTGACGACTCGGGATGAAACACCGGTCCCTCCCCGTCGCTCGGACGTCCAATCCCTCTGTTTTTTGTCGGTTTCGGGGATGGTTGTTTCGCAGGATGATCCAGGATGCTCCTTGAGAATCCCCGCCGAGCAAGAGTGCGCACGTCCGAGTGCGTGCATACCTCTGGGGGGGGGGTCGACGCTGTGGAAACAGCGTGGGGTCGGGGGCCTGCGAGGGCGGCCGCTTCTCAGAACGCGCGGGCCCTACAACTGCTACAGACGAGGCCCGCGCCTTCTGAGAAGCAGGGGTGCTCCTCATAAGCCTTCCCCCCTCCCCCTACCCTTGTGGATGCCATGACAATGGACACTCCAACAATCGCATCATTGAGCTAAAGGTGTGTTTGAAATGTGTAAAGCATGTTCAAAAAAAACGTTTCAAACATGTTTCTTACATGTTTGAACACATGTTTGAAACCAGTTTTAGACATCTGGAAAATATGTGGCAGCATGCTTCCTCTCCATTACTCGCCTTCCACAACCCTACCCCCATTTGCGCGTGACCGAGTGCCGCGCGGCGCGTCGAGGATGCGCAGGCACTGCAGCACGAGCACGTACCTTGTGAGGTGCGCCCTGGCTCCCAGGCATCCTCCGGTCCTGCGAAGAAACCGGGCGGGAAAAGCTTGGCTGCTGTGAGCCTCGTGGGGCCCTTTGCGGAGCCCGGGGTCGTTGAAGAACGACATCGGGATGAAAAACAAGTCCCAGATCGGGGATCTTCTGACCCGGGTCAATCCAGACCCGGGTAAGCAGGAAACCAAAAACTGCAATGCAGGAAACAAAAAAAAAAAACTGCAACGCAGGTCTTCGCAAACCCGGGTCAGCCAATATGCGCGGCCGCTTTGCGGCCACGAGCGGCTCGCTAACCCGGGTCAGCCAGAGGGGGTCTTCGCAGGATCCTGCAGGATCCGGTGCCCTGGCGGACCCCCGTTTGCATTGACCCCCGTCTCGAGGCTCCCGACCAGAGAAAGGGTCGGAGCTTCCGGGGACGCCGCACTGAACAAATCGGGCCGTCGCATGTCTGGCTGCGAATCCGTCGTACTTTGTAGGCGACTTCGCAAGCAGGGCAGCCCTACTGTTCGAGCTCTGTTGATGCCCGTATCGGCCCTGCTTTGCCGTCTCCGATTCCGCCATGCCTTTGGAAAAGTCTACCACCAGCGGCGGATCGGAAGACAGGGCGACCTCGCGAACAAAAAAGCACGTCGATAAAAACCGCGAACCCGTCTTTCTAAGCCCAATTGTTCGAGCCCGTCGGATCCGTGAGGGTTCCGCGGCCCAGAACCAGGCGAAAGCGTCGGCCCGTTTTTCACGGTGCCAAGGCCTGGTGACGGCCCCCCGAGGCCGAAATTACCAAAAAATAGCCCGTCATGATGTTCCATGACCTCAAGGGACCAGAGCCCCGACATCGTGATTTGTTCACAACGTCGACCCCCGGGTCTGGATCCCTTCCCCGGGACCGGTGTTCCATCCTGAGCCGCTTCTGGAAGGTCCCGAGGCCTGGCGAGGGCCCCCGAGAGAGGCCGAAACTGGGACGCAATATACCCCGCCGTGATTTCTTTCACAACGCGGGGGGGTCTGTCTGGGATCAAGTCGGGCACGTCCCCCCCTACAGGGGGACTTTGGACGAAAAAATGAAAATACCCCAAGAGAATTCCAAAATGATCAACAGTATTCAAAGTTTAATTATATTATACTATTTTTGAATACTCCTCCTGTAGAGGGACACGCCCGACTTTCAGTCTGGGAGGGCACAGCTGGACATTCTCCAAAATGGTCAAGACTAGTAAAACAAAAACGCCCCCAGACTATGGTTTGACAATTTTTGGGTGTCCCTCCTGTAGAGGGACACGCCCGACTTACAAGGTCTGGGAGGGCACAGCTGCACGATCTCGATGGTGAAGAGGGAGCCCTGGCCCGGGGGCTGCAGCCCCTGCGCGGCGGGCGGCTGCGGCCCCTCGCCGCGGCCGAGGGGCCGCGGCGGCCCGTCCAGGACGTCTCCGGTCCAGGGCGCGCCGGAGGCCAGGTTCAGCGGGAAGAGCGCCTGGAGTTGCTCGGAATCCCCAGACCTCCTCGCGTTGTGAAAAAATCACGACGGGAGGTGTTCGTTATTTTCGGCCTCCGGGGGCCCTTCCCGAGCCTCGGGGCCGTCAAAAAACAACTCAGGACGAAAAACCGGTCCCGGGGAAGGGGTCCAGACCTCTGGGGGTCGCTTCTAAATCGACCCCCCTCGTAAAAAACCAGACCCCCCGCCAAATGCGACCTGATATTCCGGGCCCCCCTCTTCGACGGGGCGCCTTTAGCAAACCGGACCCCCGAAGCTCCAATCCAAAGAGAGCGTCCTAATAAATCGGACCCCTCCAGTTGCAAAAAAGGCGCCTGAAAAAAACGGAACCGGGGGACGATCAATAGGGGGCTTGGATTAGGTCGGGCGTGTCCCCTATACAGGGGGATTTTGGGCGAAAAAAAAAAAACAAAAATGCCCCCCCAAGTAGCCCCAAATACGCAACACATCGTCCCCGGACGATGTTTTGTCTACTTTTGAATCTTCCTCCTGTAGAGCGGCAGGCCCGACGTAAGGCTGGAGGGGCAGCGCACCCAGGCCCCGCGGCGTCGCGAGCAGAAACTCACGACGGCAAATTTTGAAGGGGCCCTGGGACACACAAGTAAATAGACACAAATACAAGGATTCCCCATATTTTTTCATATTTTCTGGATTTTCGTCTTCCCCCCACTCCTCATATTTTCGCATCTTTTCCTGGGCATCGACGATCAAATGTGCCTGTGTGTTTTTTTTCCTCCTGAAATGTGTTCTGTAGGCTTCGGGCCTCTGGCGGCCCCGGGCGGGCCCTAGAAGGGACGGCCAACAAACACGACTCGGGCTGCAAAGCCCGCCCCAGGGAGTGACGTCGAGACCTCCGGGGGATCCGCGTCGTGACAAAATACGACGCCTGGGATCCAGGAGAAGGGGATACTGACTCCCCTGATCATCCAGAGTGCTAAAAAATAACCCTCCAGACCTATATACCTATCTGGACTGCTTAAAACCTCGACAGGAATTGAGACGCCAAGGTCCTGGTGCTATTGTTCAGCCCTCGTGGAAGGTCAGGGTCAGGGGGGGGGAGACATCGACCTGTGATCGCGATGCGTCGCCGATCGGTCGGCGACATAGGCTCCCGAACGCGAATCTGCCCGGTCTTGGCCTGGTTGGGCCTGCGAAGCCCCCTGGTCGGCGATCCATGAGCGATTGGGGCTCGATGCGTCCGCCCCTGAGCCCATCCCATCCCCTCCCCACTGACGCTGCCCCGGACGCCTCTCCGAGCAGGTGGTCCAGGAGCCGCGCCGGCAGGTGCCAGAGCACCTCGGAGCAGGGCGAGCGGAGCAGACAGCGGCAGCGCAAAAGAAATCTGCACCCGGAGACGCCTCCCCGAGGCCCAGGCGCACCCACTGGGCGAGCTGCGTTCGGCCGTGGCCACCAGGGGCCCCAGCGTAGAGGGTCCTCGGCCCCCCCCCCCCCCCTGGAAGGCCAACCAGGCCGTTGTCTCAAGTAATCGGCGGTGGACAAACCTCCCTTGAGTAAACCTCCCCTTAGTGAAAACGGCCTGGAACCGAAACCGACGGACCTGGACCCGCAAAAATGACGGCCGCGACGCCCTCTCGCGAACCGAAAACGGCCAATTCCTTAATCGACGTGTCAGGAGAGGATGTCTGTCCACCCCCGAAGTAACTCGCTCTCCTCTGAGCACCACAGCCAGAGGCGTGTGGAGCGCCACGTGCACGAGCGCCACCTTCATCGCCGGCCTCGGGGCGGAGATCAGCGGCCCGGTGCCCCACCTGGGGAGTCATTCTGCTACCTCCTGGACCTCTCCCGAGAGCCGTTCTGACCACAGTTCCAAGGCGAACCCACCCGTGGCGGCGAGAACGGGGCAAGAGTAGCAGTAATTGCATCGGTGCCTTTCACAGACCCCTGACGTCATGATTTTTCCATGACGTCGACCCTCAGAGGTCTCGACCCATTCCTCGGGACCAATTTCTCATCCGGAGCCGTTTTCTGACGGTCCTGGGGCCAAGAAAAGGGCACCAAAGGCCGAAAGCAACAAACAACATACCGCTATCATTGACCACCCGTCGGGCTGCTCGACGGAGCCGAAGAACCTGCGGTGGGAACACACCTACGGGCCTCCTGGATGGGGTCCGAGTAGATGGGGTCGGAGGACCGCGCTGCATCGCCAATGCATCGGCGAGGCAGCGGCGACGCAGCGGCGATACATCGGTGATGCATCGGCGACGTCGGCGAGGCATCAGCGCCATCGGCGTGGGGACATTTTGGCCTCGCATCAGGCCGCATCCCAGACCCCCCGACGTCATGATCTACAGCGTCGAACCCCAGAAGCCTCGACCCCTCCCCCGGGACTGGTTTCTCATCCCGAGCTATTGTTGGACGCTCCCGAGGCGCGGTGTGGCCCCCCCGGAGGCCAACAACAAGGAAAAACCTGCCGTCGCGATTCTGCCATGACGTCCGAGGGGAACTGTCATCGCCGCTGCATCGGCGGTGCGGCGCGATCCGCGGACCCCCCTCGATGCACTCCGACCCCGGCCGGGAGGCCCGGAGCACCGCGCACACGAAGAAGTTCGAGGAGGCCGCCCGCGCGGGCTCCTGGCCCGCGCCGCGCGGCGCCAGCGCGCCCGCCAGGCCGGCGGCGCAGCCCTCCAGGAACGCCACGCCCCAGAGGTGGGCGTAGCCCACCTGGAGATCCGGCGCTGCGAAGGAAGCGCCACATCCCCAGACCCCCTTCGGGTCGTGAAACGACCACGACGCGGGAAATTCCCAGCCCTCCTGCGTTGGGTTCTCGTCTCTGAATGGAGCACGGCGGTCGCACAACTGCGGTCGCACACCTCCTCCTCCTCCTCCCGCCTCCCTCTACCCTTCTCTCGTGCCTCTCACCTCGCTCCTTCCTGCGTGCTAGCTTGCCTCCTACCTGGCCATCCCTGGGGGCTGCGACCTACGAATACGCCTCTTTTGCCGTCGACAGAGCCTCGGCGCTGAGGACCTCGTCATCCCTTGGGGGCTGCGATCTGTGAAACTGCCGCCACTTTCGAAGGCCGCTGGGGGGCCAGCAGAATGGGCGCTCGCCGCGGACTCCAACCAGACCTCGCCACCCCTGGGGCGCTGCGATCTGCGAAATTATCGCCACTCTCGAGGGTTGCGCGGGGGCCAGCATAATGGTTACGCTCTGCGGATTCAAACTAGACCTCGCCGTCCCGATATGCGAAACTGTCGCCACTCTCGAGGGTTGCTGGTGGGGCCAGCATGATGGGCAGTCGCCGCGGATTGAGACTAGACCTCGCCATCCCTGGGGGGCTGCGATCTCTGAAACTGGCATCACTTTTGAAGGCTGCTGGGGGGCCAGCATAGTGGGCACCCGCCGCATATTCAAATTTGACCTCGCTATCCCTGGGGCGCTCCGATATGCGAAACTGTCGCCACGTTCGAAGGCTGCTGGGGGGCCAGCATAGTGGGCACTCGCCGCATATTCAGACTAGACCTCGCCATCCCTGGGGGGGGCTACGATCTGCGAAACTGTCACCACTTTCCAGGGCCGCTGGGGGCCAGCGGAGTGGGTACTCGCCGCAGATTTAAATTTGACCTCGCCATCCCTGGGGGTTGCGAAATGTAAAACTGTCGCCACTTTCGAGGTCTGCCGGTGGGTCCAGCGGAGTGGGGTTCGACCTGGCCATCCCGCCACCCCTGGGGGGCTGCGGTCTACGAAACTGTCGCCACTGTCCAGGGCTCCTGGGGGGTCCAGCAGCGTGACGTCCTGCGCGGACTAAAATTCGACCTCGCCTTCCTTGGGGGGCTGCGATCTGCGAGATTGTCGCCACTTTCGAGGGCTGCTGGGGTCCCATGCGGACTCAAATTCGACCTTGCCATGCCTGGGGGGCTGCGACCTGCGAAACTGTCGCCACTTTCAGAGGGCTGCTGGTGGGTCCAGCGGAATGACGTCTTACGCTGACTCACGCTAGACCTCGCCATCCTTGGGGTACTGCGATCTGCGAGACGGTCGCCATCTCCGAAGGCTGATGGGGGGTCCAGCGGAGCAACGTCTGAAATTACGCAGACTCAAGTTCAACCTCGCCATCCCTGCGGGGCTGCGATCTGCGAATCTGTCGCCACTTTCGAAGGCTGCTGGGGGGTCCACCAAAGTGACGTCTTTCGCGCATTCAAAATCTGACCTCGCCATCGCTGGGGGCTGTGACCTGCGAAACCGTCGCCACTTTCGGATGGGGGGGCCCCATGGAATGGTTCTTCGGTCTCCTCCCGTCACTTTCGTCGTCGCCCTTCTGCCCCTTGCAGCCTTCCCTCTGCTGCTGCCGCGCTGACGTCTCGACCCCCCGCGCGCCCTTCTCCTGCCGTTCGTGCGCGCCCCCATGTCCTCCGCGAGCCTGGGCCCTCGCTCCTCGTCCTTCTGGTGTTGTCCTGTGAACTGCGCCTCCTGAGCGCGCCCTCTGTAGCTTGCACGACATATGACGGCGCCTGCATTGGCATTGTCCTGGCTAATTCGGGCCAATTTGTCCTGACATGTACCGCAGGCTTGCGTCGTGTCGACCCAGGCGATGGTTCTTGACACCGAGGGAATCGTTCAACCTTGAACGATCGGCCGTTTCCGAAACGCCACATCGTTGAACATCGATCGATTCTGGGTCGCCGTCGGCGTTCAACGTTGAACTCCGGCGGCGGGGTCGCCGCTGGTCGACACGACACGAACCTACCGTATGCACATGGGTTGGGTGCGTCGCAGGTAATGCATCTTTCCTTGTCGGCCTCCCGGGGGCCTCCCACCGGGCCTCGGGGCCGTCGAGCGCAACTCGGGATGGGAAGTTGGCTGGGGGAAGGGGTCGAGACCTCGTCGCAACAAAGCCGCGGCGGTAGGGGCTCGGGGATCCGGCACTGGAAGAAATGCACCGCACCAGGAACTCACGACCGGAACCCTGGGATACTGTAACTGACTCTTCTGAGCAGCTATGTTCTAGAGCCTGGAGCCTTCAATTTTACGCCGTCGTGTTGGCCGTTAGTTTGCCCTCTTATGCCGTGCAGGATTGCCTCCGGGGGAAGTACCATCGTCTACCAAGCGGTTCCAAGGGTGAACAGACGCACGCTCGCGCAGACAACTGCAACCAGTACCCAAAAGCAGCTCATGTGCTGTGTCGCACGTTAAACATGTCATTGAGCAATCTGCAGGCGTATAGAAAAATCTTACGGTACTGATGACCCATCACACGTAAACACACACACAAAACAGATATGGGTCCTGGAGCTTTCGGTGCGGAAATACTTGTTATATGTTATATCAGGCAACCAGATAAAGCTTACTTTGTCTTGGGACAAACTTCAAATGTGTCTTCTGCTGTGAAAGCAGTGTGAAAAGTGAATCACGTGGTCTAAGGGAGAAACGAGTTGACGTGGAACTGAAAAAATCCACGACAACCGTTACGCCTGGAGGGGGGGCTGGCCCGCGTGACGACCGCTACGCGACAGCGGATAGAACAGCAATCTCTAGACCCCATGTCTTCGCGGCACTTCTCGAGCCGCACCGCTCCGCGACGGCCCCGGGTCCGAGACGTGGCGCCCAGCGCTCGGCGTGAAAACATTGACACGCTTAGGTCGGGCCTGTCCCCCTACAGGCGGATTTTGGACGAGAGAAATGAAACATACCCAGGACATAATACTCCCAAATTGCCCCCCATGAAAATCGTCCCCAGACCATTTCTTACTATTTTGGAATATTCCTCCTCTAGAGGGACAGACCCGACGGAATGCCGCGCCCGGATCTCGGGGCACCAGCAGCTGCATCGTCAGCGCCACGAGCATGTTCGCATTGGTCAGCGACGCCCGGGCGTGGTGCGACAGGTGGAGGACGGGGCCTCGAGGCAGAACAGTTGTGAACAAACACACATGAAAGGGGCCCTGGGGCACACAAATAAATGCACACAAATAACAGGATTCCCTATATTTTCCAATATTTTCTGTGATTGTTGTCTGCCCCCCCCTTCCCATTTTTTGCCCATATTTCTGGGGAGTCGACGACTAATTGTGTCTGTGTTTCTTCCCCTCCTGAACAGTGTGAATAAATGCACGAACTTTCTGAGATCCGCGCGGATTTCCGCCAGGGCCCGCCAGGGGGATCCCAGCGCAGATCCGAGCAAACCGGGCGGACCTCCCGGAAGTTTATGCGAATGCGGTTTTCGGGGAGACGCGAGATTCGGGATCAGGGGACTCGGGTTGGCCTGACGGGGCCGTCAACAAAGATTGCGAGACCCCATCTGACATTCAACGCGAGCTCCCGCTGCAAACATCCCACGAAAGCTGAACCGCCAAGTTCAGGACGGGCCCGTCAGAAAGCGCCGCCAAGCCCGAGCTCCAGCGAACTCTCGAGGCCTTCTAAATGGGGTGGGAGCAGGTGGGGTCGGAGGCTCGCGCCGCCTCGGCGCTGCACTTCCGATGCATCGGCGACGTCGGCGTGGAGAAAATCGGGCTCGTCGAGCCAACTCCCCGACGCATCGGGCATGCGGCGCGATCCGCCGGCCCCATCTATAGTCGGGGGCGCGCGGTCGCCAAATCCATGGATCGGGCGAGGTGCCCTCCGCAAGATGCGGCCCGTGCCGCCTCGCTCGGCTGCGGAAACCCGCGGTTTCCCATGGAAGCGGGACCCGTCGCTAATCCACGCCCCCTTGATCCATGTTTGCGAGCGCCTGACATTTGGGGATGTACGGTTTCCCCCTGGGCCGTAGGCGACCCGAGGAGGAGGAGGAGGAGGAGGAGGAGGAGGAGGAGGAGGAGAAGGACGAGGAGGAGATGGAGGAGGGGGAGGGGGAGGAGAAGGTGGAGGAGGAGGAGGAGGAGGTGGTGGAGGAGGAGGAGGAGGAGGAGACCTCTCTATAGGGAGCGCCTGCTCTATAGGGTTGAGCCCAAGAGCGCACGCGCCTGGCCACGTCTATGCATGCGGCCCCCCCCGTCCGCGAGGCCAGCCTCGCGACGATGCAAACGGCTCGCGCAGTGAGAGACTCTCGACTTCCACGTGGCTTCGTGTACAGTCGGGGCGTTGACCTTTAGAAGGGACCCTAAATAAGGAACGAGGCCCCTTTTTTCCATGAATTAAACTTCGACTTCCGATCGAAAACATAAGGAACACCCGAGGCAGGCTGCAAAACACTCAAGGAACGCGGAGCCCCTCCCCAACGAAAAGGGTTCCTCCTTCAGGGCCCCGACTGTACGTGGGCGTCCTCCGTTCGCCTTTCGCGCCTGAATCTTCTCGGGACCTCCTGGGAGGCCTAGAAGCTCGCGTCTTACGTCGGGTCGGGCATGTCCCCCTACAGGCGGATTTGTTGGACGAGAAATCAACAAACATACAAACAAAAAAATCAAACATGCCGAACAACAATTAAAAACAAAATCGCCACCATACTATGTTTTGACTACTTTCGAATACTCCTCCTGTAAAATGACACGCCCGACTTACGTCTTATTACGACGCCCGAAAGGGGTACGGAAAAAATAAGCACAATGCCCAACAACAAATGTTGTCCCAAACCAACAGCCAAACCAACAGCGGCCGCTGTTGGGCAGGCGGCCTTCTGTCTCGAATGGACACACGCCGCGGCGGCGTGGACAGCGAGTCCTGATAAAAAAAAAAACACAGGAACTGCTGTTGGGCATGGTACCCATTCTTTCCGTACCCATTTCGTTCGTGCAGATCTCACGCTTCCCCGGCGGTGTTCCCCTTCTCCGAACTGGGCACCCGCAAGGGAGCACACCACGACGTGCCCGACGTAGCAGGGCAGCAGCACCAACAGCACGAGGCCCGCGGCCAGCATCTCCAGCCTCGGGGGGAAACCAGAAGGCCGCGTAAGGTCGGGCATGTCCTCCTACAGGGGGATGTTGGACGAACAGTGGAAGAAAGTACACCAAAAAACATGTAAAAAAAATCGCAAATAGTAAAAAAAATCGTCCCCTGACTATCTCTTCACTATTGTTGCATATTCCTCCTGTAGAGGGACAGGCCCGACTGAAAGGTAGCGGCACCGCTGCCCTCGGGGGCGTCCAACCCAGGCCTGCCAGAGTGCTACAAGATAGCCCTCCAGACCTGTAGACCGATCTGGACTGCCCAAAACCTCGGCAGGAATTGAGACGTCAAGGTCCTCGTGCTATATGTTCTACAGTCCTCCCGGAGGGTCAGAGAACAGGGGGGCGCCGCAGATCATGGCCCGAGGCGTGCGCGTGGCCCAGGGGTGGGGGGTCCAGGGGACGCATTTAAATCGGAGGAGGCGCCATGACATGTGAGGAAGCATCATGCCCCCAGCCATGATGGCCACCCTCCTCTATAGGCCCCCTCTTATGGCCTCCCCCCAGGAGGCCCCGTTTCCTCCTCCTCCTCCTCCTCCTCCTCCTCCTCCTCCTCCTCCTCCTCCTCCCTCTCGTCCTCCTCCTCCTCCTCCTCCCCCCCAAAAAAGGGAAAGCGAGGCCCCGAGATCCGACGCAGCTAGACATTACAGCATCGTGAAGCCCCCGAACCCCACCTCTCTGCGTTATTTTTCGAGCCAGCTCGACCCGTGAGGGCTCTAGGGTCCGAAGCCGGGTGAGGACGCCTTGCTCGAACGGATCGAGACGCCCAGATCTCCGGGGCGAAGGGTGGCGGGAGCCGATCCCGCCACCCTTTTGGTACCAGCTCCTCGCCCTCAACATGCCACTTCCTGACTTTTTCTGCACGGGGCCCCTGGAAGCCCCGACCCATTCCCGGGGACCGTTTCCTCATCCTGAGTCTTTTTCGTGAAGAAAAAACTGTATCGTGTTTGGAGGAAGAGGTTGGGAAGATACAAGGCACAACTGTGTAATAACCACAACCTAGCATTCGCGATACTACGGACGATCTGACCATTTCTCCCAAACCCATCCTCCCAACCCGGTGATTCGAGGCCACCTAAGCGGGGTCCGAGTAGATGGGGTCGGAAGATCGTACCGCATCGCCGATGCATCGCCGATGCATCGACGATGCATCGGCGACGTCTGCGCCGTCGGCGGAGCGTCGGCGCCAGCCGTGGAGAAAATCGGGCTCCACATCCCGCCCTGTCGGCGATTCATCGGCGATGCGGCACGATCATCCGACCCCATCTGCTCGGACCCCACCCGGGAGGCCTAGAATTAGGTCGGGCATGTCCCCTTACAGGCGGATTTTTGATAACAAATAAACATACCAAACATATGCAAACATGGAAAAACAAATACTCAAACATCATCCCCAGACTATTGTTTTGCTATTTAAAAATCTCCTCCCTGTAGAGAGACAGGCCCGACTTAAGCCTATAATCATTGTCTTCCTGACATGTTGGACAACCCCGAAACCCAGTGAGGGCCCCGAGAGCAGCGAACAGTGGAACATCTCCCGCCGTGTCCTTCCTGCACGGCGCGAGCACGTCTATGGTTAGGTCGGGCATGCCCTCCTACAGGCGGATTTTGGAAGACACGTTAAACATACTCTGTGTCCCTCAATAGTTCTGGGTCCCTGTACTACAGGTACCCCCCGGACTACCGGTACCCCCCTCCCCGAACTACAAGTATATATCCCCCCCTCTCCAGACTATACCCCTCCCCGGACTACAGGTGCCCCCCCCCCCCCCAGACTACAGGTACCCCCACAGGACTACATCCACGCGTGCGTTGACGCGTGAACACGCGTTCCCCCTGAGACTGCAGGTACCCCTTCCCGGGCTACAGCTACCCTTCCCCCGGACTACAGGTACCTTCCCCCGGACTGCAGGAACCCTCCCTGGACTACAGGTAACCCCAGAACTATTGAGGGACGCAGAGTAGCCAAACAATATCCCAAAATCGTGGGAAGAGTACGAATAAAGGAAGGCAAACACATACGCATAAACGTTTGGCGCTCCGCGCGGATTTCTTGGATCCGTGCTGGAACCCCCTCCCTGGCGCGCGGAGCGCGCCGGGGGCGGCGCCGCAGGCGCCGCCGGGGGGGGGGGGGCCCGGGCGCGGATCCGAGAAATCCTGCGCGGAGCCCCAAAAGTTTGAAGTTTATGTGGTTTTTCTTCCAGCGAAACGTCGTCCTGACACGATTTTCTCACCATTCCCGACGTTCGACTTCCTGCAGGGGGACGTGCCCGCCAAACGTTTATGTTGATGTGTTTTCTCTTCTTTGCACAATAGATCCCAAAATCGTATGACGAGTACGAAGCATCATCCCCATCCGATTTTCCTGCCGTGCCTGACCCGCCTTCCGGTGAGGAAAGAGTCTTCGTGGGCCCCCTCCGCGCCTCGACCACGTGGCCGCCGCGAGCCGCCACGCCCTGGCCCGCGCCGCACCCCCCGTGGGACCCTCGCGCCGGCCCCGTCGCGCCGCCCTCTCTGGCGGCGCGCACGGGGTGGCGCAGTCGTGGCAGATGCGAGGCGGGGGTGTTTCTTTGTTTCCCAAGGTTCTCCGAGAGGTCACAAGTCCATCAGTGCAGTGCTCGGTGATGCATCACCGCCTTAATCGGCCAACTGCTTTGCCAGAAGCGTAATGGCAAGAGCGGATGAGAGGGGGGGCGAGGCGGGGGTGTATCCACATCCGCCGCCGCCTGGGAGCCGACGCCCTGGTGCCCCGGCGGGCGGCGGGTCTGGACACGAAGATGTCTTCTGGCCCCCGGGGGCCCGAAGATGTCCACATCCGCCGCCTGCCGAGGTCCCCGACAATTGACCGACCCTCCGGGCGGTGGTCAGGTATACACTCCCGCCTCGGAGGCCTGCCCCGTCGCGCCACCCTCTCTGGCGGCGCGCACAGGGTGGCAGAGTCGTAGCATACTGAACAGTTTCTCAGGGTGGAGGGCTCAGGGTGAAATCCAAATGGGCTTTTGCACCTCGAAAAAATCAACCTGCCTTGTGATTCACCGTTTGCAGATCCAAGCCTCGAAAATCCACCGAAACGGCATTTCAGATGTCACTTTTGCCCTCCACCGAAAGAAAATGCTCGGACCCCTGGCGGCGCGCACAAGGTGGTACGGTCGTAGCATAAGAATGCACGATAATAGAAGAAGAAACAAATAACCACATAACCTTAAAGTTTTGGCGCTCCGCGCGGATTTCTTGGATTCGCACTGGACCCCCCTCCCTGGCGCGCGGAGCGCGCCAGGGGCAGCGCCGGAGGCGCCGCTGGAGGGGCCCAGGCGCGGATCCAAGAAATCCTGCGCGGAGCGCCAAACGTTTATGTTTATGTTTTTTCTTTCGAGATAAGGATACAAGGGCCTTGGAAGCTCATCTCGAAGCTTCTCGAGCGGGGCGCGGCCAACGAAAGTGGTCCGGACCGAGGAGGCAAGGATGCAAGGGTACCCTTGGGAAGGTTGCCCATCCTTACTATGCCGGTCAACTGTAGGGAGACAGATGCCGGGAGGTCTTCGCCAGAACGATTAAGGAGACTTGAATTCCCTTGGGGGGCAGCTGCGCCAGATTCGGGCGCGGATCAAGCCGCATTGAAGAGGACTGGGCGGGATTGAGCGGGATCGAGCGGGATCAGGCAGGAATAAGCCGGACTCCGGACCAGGGCACAGTCAGAATTTGATCCTCCAGAAGTTGCATCCGAAGGGTGGTAGGGGGAGGGGGGAAGAGTTCTTGGATGGAGGCTGCTTCTCAGCAGGCCTGGGCCTTACATCTGCAGGCACGGCCCGTGCCTCCCAAGCAGCAGGGGTGCTCCTACGAAGCCTCCCCCCCTCCCCGTGCACCCTTGCGCGCGCCGCCGACACTTTAGCAGCGTCGACTCCGTCCTGCATCGGCGCGGGGCTCGTCGCATCCGCGCCGAACCCGCGTCGGACCCGCGCCGAGCCCACGCCGAAGCCGCGTCCCCAGACTTGGCGGCGCGCACAAGGGGGTGGGGGGAGGGGGGATGGCTTCTTCCCAAGAGAAACCCAGGGCACCCTGGAGGCAAGCAGAGTGCTTCTTGGCATGGGCCTCCACGGTATAATTTGTGGGGAGGGTCGGCTCCCCAGAGATCCGATGCCGTGCTTTTTCCCAATACGGGGCCCCTGGAGGTCCCGACCCCTCCCACGGGACCGGCTTTTCATCCTGGGTCGTTTTGTTGACGGTCCTGGGGCCCGGCGAGGGCTCCCCGAGGCAGAAAAGGGCGACACACCTCCGTCTTTCATTTTTTCAACGGGTCTCTGGGTCAAAAGTGACGAACGAGCAACGCACACCCATACCCATAGGGGGGTCGTTGGGAGGAGGACTGGCTGTGGGTATGGGTGCGGGTTGTCGGACCCTGGGGAACGCTCCCGTTCGAGCGAGGACCCCCGTTCGACAACACGCACCCCTAGCCCTCTCCGACCCCCCTATGGGTATGGGTGTTTGTTGTTGTTTCCCCAAAAAGCCCCCCCCGAAGGTGCAGCGCCACCTGGCGAGCAGCGCGGCGCCCAGCGCCGCGAGGCTCCGCCGCGCGGCGGCCGCCCGGCCGGCGCCCCGGGCCCCGCTCCGCTCCAGCGCCGCGCACAGCAGCAGCGCGCTGGGGACGCCCCGAGGGGCGGAGAGAGGCACCGCGCAGGCGCAAAGCTTTCCTCGAGCGCCTCCATGCAGACCTCTCGGCCTGCCAGCCCAGGACCCCCTCGGGTCACGAAAGAGGATCGCGGCGAGAGGTGCTCCGCAGTTGTCGGCCTCGGGGAGCCCTCACAGGGCCTCGGGACCGTTTATAAAAAAACAAGCAAAACTACCCAAGACGAAAAACCGGTCCCAGGGAAGGAGTCCGGACCTCTGGGGGTGGCGGAGCTGAAAGATCATGCCGTCGGGGGTCTGCGAGGAGGGCTCAAAAATAGCACCTCAACCTCGACGTCTCAGTACCCGCCTAAGGCTTTAGGCGGTCCAGGTCAGTCTGTCTGTAGGCCTGGAGGGCTATTTTTTAGCACCGCTCAGGAAAATCAAGGGGGCTCCGAGGCTCCGCAAAAATTGGAGCGGCCAAGTTGGGGTCGGGTTCGGCCCGCGGGGGCCCTCACGACGCAGAATGACAAGCCGGCCTTAGGTAGGAGGTTGCCCAGACCTCCAGGGGACCACGCTGAGGTCGGGCGTATCCCGCTACAGGCGGATTTCGCACGACAAATTCATAATAATCAAAGAATGCCCCACAAATTATCAAACATGCTCAAACAATATACCCACACATTTGTTTGACTAGTTTTGAACGTTCCTCCTGTAGAGTTATATTGTTCCCATCCTACTTAAGGACCACATCCCAGAAATAATTTCGAGCACCCCGAAACGTGTCAACGAGTGTCGAAACAGTGTCGAAACAGTGTCGGGCGAGTGACTCCCAGGGCCCGACACGTGAAAACCCTTGAGTTTCGGTACTTTTTTGGGCGCTCGAAATTCTTCCTGGTGACAAACGCTAGAGTAGGTTGGAGCATCATAACTGTAGAGGGACAGGCCCGACTTCAGACCACGCGTAAGAAAAATTCGAGCGCCAGATGCCCGGGCTGGCGTCTCCATTTCTCGAGAGCCGGGCGGGCCCCTGGACCCTCACAGGTCGATGCGGCTTGAAAAATGGCGCGGGAAGATTGGGTCCGTGGCTCTGGCCGATTTTTGCGGACGATGTTGTAATTGTTCCGCGTCGTCGGATCAGAGGCCTCCAGGGCGGCGAACGCATCCACATCCACGCCCTCGCGATCTGGATTCCAGAGCGCGGCTCCGCTTTCCCGGACTCCCCGCCCCGCGGAGCGGAGAGGCACGCTATCCACTCGCAGGGCATGGCGTGTCGCAGGGGGCGCCGTTGCGACACGCTGGGTAATCATTCCCGACCGTGTACCCAGACATCTGGCGCCTGTTTTCGGCCTCTGGGGGCCCCTCGGCAGGCCTCGGGACCGTCGAAGAACGACTCGGAATGAAAAACGGGTCCCGGGGAAACTGGTCGAGAAGTCGGGGCGCCGTGCTTCGAAAAAACGGAACGCCGGGCGGTCTGGACTCCGGGGCTCGAGTCCGCGGATACGCGGTCGCGAGGCCGCAGGTACGGACATGTGTTTCGCCTACGAGCTACGCGCGGGCGTCCTGGATCGGCGCTGGGCGCTCGCCGGCAAGGCCTGAGGCGCGCGAAGCGCGCCAGGAGCGGCACCAGAGGCGCCGCCAGAGGGGGTCCCCGGCGCCAATCCGCGCGGCGGAAGAGTGTTTGCGTTTGCGCCGCGTTTCCCCCCTCGAGATGAGGATGGGCACGGACGCCAGCAGCGACACGTACCCCGCCACCACGAGGCCTGAGGGGCAACGTTCGGAGGGGGCCAGCTCCAGGACGAAGCATCGACGTGGAGGATCGGCGCTGCATCGCCAGAAGATCGGCGCTAGGGTCTCGTTAGCGAATCCGCACCATCCTGGGCGGGGTGAGCTTTCGGGCCCTGATCGGCGTCGAATGGGCGATTGGGGTCGGTGTATCCCCCCTTTACAGTCCACGCGTAAGAAGGATGCGCGACAAGGACAACAGGGCCTTGGAAGGCCATGTCCCTCTCGAGCGGGACGCGGTCGGCGAAAGTGGCCAAGGATGAACAAAGGAAGGACGCCAGGCCACCCTTGGTGGGAAAATAGCTCATCCTTACAGTGCGCGTTGACCGTATTCCCCCTTCCACCGTGACCTGCCAGAGTGCTACAAAATAGCTCTCCAGACCTGTAGACCTGTCTTGACTGCCAGAAACCTTGACAGGAACTTAGACGTCGAGGTTCGGGCGCTACTTTTTGCCCTCCTCCCAGACTCTCGACGTCATGACTTTTTTGTTCATAACGTCGACCCCGAGAGGTCTAGTCCCCTTCCCCAGCAGGACTGGCTTTTCGTCCTGAATCGTTTCTGATGGTCTCGCGAGGCCCGGTGAGGGCCCCCGGAGGCCGAAAACTGCGGCACACCTCGCGTCATGATGCTTTCTAGCCCTCTTGGGAAGGTCAGGGCAACGTTGCCCCTGAAGGCCCGCGTCCGCCAGCAGGTGCTGGCCTGGCGCGGGCAGCGACCTTGATTGGCTTGTCTTCCACCACCACCATAAGTTGGAGGGGGGAAGGAGGTGGAGGACGAGGAGGAAAAGGACGAAGAGGAGGAGGAAGAGGAGCAGGAGGCGGAGAAGGAGGAGGAGGACACCCTCCCCCTCCAACTTGTGGTGGTGGTGGTGGTGGAAAACAGGCCCATAAGACCTGCTGGCCGCCGCAGAGCCCACAACAGGCGGCGACGCCCCCGCGAGGCCCTGCGCGCGCGCCAGCGCCCAGGCGGCGCCCGGCGAGGGGAGGGGCGGCGCGAGCCCGACGACGAGGCGGCCGAGGAAAAACGGCAGCGCCTCGCGGTCAACCCGCATAGCCCAAAGATCCAACGCATTGAAAGAATCAAAACGGAGGTTTTTCGCCCTTTCCGGCCTCCAGGGAACCTCGCCGGGCCCCAGGACCGTCAAACAACGACCCAGGATGAAACACCCGTCCCGGGGAAGGGGTCGGGACCTCCAGGGGCCCCGCATGGAAAAAAACACGACATCGGATCTCTGGGTAAGAAGAACGCGCGATAAACCGCCCGAAAAGTTTGCACACTATGACTCGCCCCAAAAAGGGCCTCTATAGAAGAAGAGAAAACCACATAAATATGATCTGTTGGCGCTCCGCGCAGATTTCTTGGATCCGCGCCTGGGCCCCCTGGCGGCGGCTCTGGCGCCACCCCTGGCGCGCTTCGCGCGCCAGGGAGAAGGGACCAGCGCGAATCCAAGAAACCGGCGCGGAGCGCCAAAAGCTTCTGTTGATGGTGTTTTTTTCTCCTTCTACTCTAACCCTTTGGGACGGGACCGAAGTTGGGAGGGCCCCGAAAATGGGGAATAAGGGGGCTGTTCTGCAGATGGCTCAAGCCAGACCGCCCAGATTTCTGGACCTCCGTGAGGCCACTTCTTCATTGTGGTATGAGGGTTTGGGGTTGTTTGTTCTCGATGATCTGCTCCAGAGCCCTTTGCAGGTGGGCGAGGATCGTGGTCCCGACCCCATCTGCTACGACCCCACCTGGGAGGCGCAGAGTGCCTCGATTTGCTCGAGGCAAAACCCTCCAGAGGCACCCAGGTGCCTGGGCAAGTCTTCCGGGGGTTGCCAGAGGTGCCCCCGGCCCAGGGTGCCCCGAGCTTTTCGCCCCGTTTTGGAGCCCCTGGGGCCCCCCAGGCCTCGTGGGGGTTGCTCTGGGGGCCATGGGGGGGCCTCCTTGGGGATCCAGGGGGGCGCCCTGGGCCAGGGGCACTTCTGGCATCGCCCGAGTCTTTCCGCCCGCCGAAGCGCCAGGAAGACGAGGATGCCCAGGACGTTGCTGCACAGCAGCACGCCCATGCACAGCAGGGGGCGCCACAGGCCGCCCTGCAGGCCGATGATGTTCCAGAACTCCTCCTCCGGGTCCGCCAGGCCCTCGTCCTGGGGTGCACGGTGTCCCCCAGGGCCGTAGTCGACCCGAAGAGGAGGAGGAGGAGGACGAGGAGGAGGAGGAGGAGGAGGAGGAGGAGGAGGAGGACGAGGAGGAGGACGAGGAGGAGGAGGGGGAGGGGGAGTGGGAGGAGGAGGTTGTGGAGGATTTGTTAACATCAACGCAAAGCTACCATGCGTTACACTCAGGTGGTGGGGCGAAGCCACCTGAGGCCTGAGTGCACCTGCCGTGAAGCCGTCCACGAGCGCAATCCCGAAGAAGCGCGACACCACGTACAGAGGCACGTACATCATCGTGAGCTGCAGCACGAATCGTCCTGGCCGTTGCTATCCCATGCCTCGTCGAACAATCGGTTGAGGCACGAGCCATGCCACATCGTGCGGCAGACTGGGCAACTCCGCACGATCGCGCCATGCAGAATGGGATCCCCACAGGCCCTCCATGCGCATCGCCGATTCCCACGCCGCCGAAAGTGAAAGGTGACATCGCGCAGGCCGCAACCAGGATCCGACCCGCTGACCTCGAGCAGCCACTCAATTCGCTAATTCGGGCCGGTCTCGGGCGTGATGGGGGGGGCCCTGAGAAACCAATGCCTCTCAGAAACAGAACAACACTGCGTCCCTGAGAGCACCACGCGGCACGCACGCAACCGCTTCCCCTCGAGAGTACCACGGCGTGCGCCACAGCACGTCCGCGGTACTCTTCAGCCTGCGAGCGCCACCACTTCCCCGCAACCGCTTCAGCCTGCGAGCGCCACAGGACGTCCGCGGTCGCCACCGGACGACCGCCGTGACGTGAGAGGGGGGGAGGGGGGGAGGGGGGTGGGCGGGACCGGTCACGCCCATGATCGCCGGGGGGTTTTCCGAACGGGCTCTCGGGTTGCCGCCGAACGAGGCCCGCATCACGTAGTGCTGCATCTCGCCTGGCGGCACGCCCGTGATCGCCGGGGGGGGTTCCGAACGGGCTCTCTTGGGTTGCCGCCGCACGAGGCCCGCACCACGCAGTGCTGCAGCTCGCCGGGCGGCCTCCGGCCCTCCGGCCTCTCCTGGGCGGCCGGCCCCGCCCAGGGGCCCTGCGGAGGGCCAAGATGCCCCGCCCGCGGGCACGGCAGCAGAAAGCTCCAGGTGCACAGCGACAGCCGCCACGGTGCCGGGAGGAGGGCCAGGAAGCTGTTCAGGTCGAGGAGGAGCGCGACGAGGAGCACGCTCAGGAACGTGGCATTCCAGCGAACCCCACCCAGCAGGCGCCACAGCCGCGGGGATGCCGAGCGGCGGCGCAGCCTCCGTCTCCTGCGGCGCCTCCGAGGGACCGCGAGAGACGTTGACTGCACGGCCGCCCGCCAGCCCGCGGCCAAGCTCTGCACGAAGGCCTCCGCCTCAGCGCTCTCGTCCACCTGCCACACTCCTGGCGCCAGCAATCCGCCGACGCCTGCCCCGCCAGGCTCTGCCAGCACTGGCTCGGCTGCCGTGGAGACGACACGACAAACTCCAGCGGCGGGAACCTTCACAGCGTTCCCGTCGCCAATCACCTTGTCGTCACCGTCCACGTCCAGCGTCTGCACCGCCATCCGCGCCAGCAACTCCGCCTCCAGGTCGGCCACGTCCAGGCCCCTCGGGACCTCGGGAAGCGTGGCCGACTCCACGAGCTGCTCGCCCAGGCGCGGCCCCAGCTCTGCAAGCCGCCACTCCGACAGGGTCGGCCCGTCGTCAGGCAAGCTGGCAACGTGTTGGGCGCAGTTCCCCACCAGCACCTGCCCTGGCCTCGCCCTCGTTCCGATGACCCCCGAGACCAAGGTCGAGCGAGAGAGGCGTTCCCTCCTCGCCACCTCGTCGAGGGCCCCGAGCGCGGCTCCATGCCAGGGCCCAGCGGGGCGGCCCAGCGCACGCCAGAGGCCGCGCTCCAGGGCGTCGCGCCCGCGCCGCCTCGCAGCACGGCGCGCCGCGGAGGCCCCTAAGCGAGAGGCCTCTTCGCATCGCACGTGCCGCACGGGCCGCTCCGACGGGTGGCGGCCCCCCGTAGCCAAGTTCCGGAGGCCTCCAGCAGCATCGGCGCGCAGCCCGGACATGCGGACGGCGCGGGCGACCGGCAGGAGGACCAGGGGAAAGCCTTGAGCCAAAATGGCTACGGAGGAGAAGGCGGAGGAGGGGGAGGGGGAGGAGGAGGGGGAAGGGGAGGGGGAGGAGGTGGAGGAGGGGGAGGGGGAGGAGGAGGAGGAGGAGGAGGAGGAGGAGGAGGAGGAGGAGGAGGAGGAGGAGGAGAGGAGGAGGAGGAGGAGGAGGAGGAGGAGGAGGCGGAGGAGGAGGAGGAGGAGGAGCTGGAGGAGGAGGAGGAGGGGGAGGGGGAGGAGGAGGAGCCCTTCGGAGAAACCCTCCACCTGTAGGGGGTCGGGCCTGCGACGGGGGGGGCGGGCCTGCGACGGTGCGGCGACCGCCTGTGCGGCGACCTCGGGATCCCCAAGAACCTCGCCCAGAGCTCCGGCGACACGCCTTCTGTGCCGGGCGTTTTCTTCCTCACGGGCGGCGAGCATGTCCGCACACGTGCCCCCGCGGTCCGGATTCCCGGGCGCGATCCCGCAGATACGCGGTCGCACAAATACTTTGGACGCCCGAAGAAATGGGTACGGAAAATATGGGGCACGATGCCCAACAGCACATGTTCCCCAAAACCGACAGCGGTCGCTGTTGGGCAGGCGGCGTCCTGCCTCAAATGGACTGGACACCGCCCAGGGCGACCCCGACAGCGGGTCCGGTTCAAAATGACCCGGACATGCTGTCGATCGTTGTGCCCGTTCCTGCCGGACCCGCTTCGACCGCCCCGAGATGCGCTCCGCGCGGGGCAGCCGCGAACGAAAAAATCCCAGCGGCCGGGGGGGGGCGCGGCCAAGAGGCCCGACCCGCGCGGCCGCGGATCGGCAGTGAGGGTGATGAGACCGCCGTGCAAGAGGAGGAGGAGGAGAAGGAGGAGGAGGAGGAGGAGGAGGAGGAGGAGGGGGAGGAGGAGAGGAGGAGGAGGAGGAGGAGGCGGAGGAGGAGGAGGAGGAGGAGGAGGAGGAGGAGGAGGAGGAGGAGGAGGAGGAGGAGAGGAGGAGGAGGAGGAGGAGGAGGAGGAGGAGGAGGAGGAGGAGGAGAAATCGTCTTCGGTTTCGTGTTCGTGTCGCGCGTGCGGGCGGGGCAAAAAGCTCCGTGGGCGGTCCGAAAGGAAGGAACCCCTCCTCGGGCTAGAGGGCGCCGCCGGGCCAGAAGACTGCACCCCTCCCCCCGTACTGTGCGGCGGTGGCCAGGGGTGTCCTGGGGGTGTCCCGCGGGTGTCCCGCCGGAAGCCCGTCGGTGTCCCGTAGTGAGATCCATGGTGATATCGTTAGTGAGACCGTAAATGAGATCGATTGTGATATCGATCGTGATATCCATAGTGAGACCGATAGTGATATCGATAGTGGAACCGATGGTGAGATCGACCCTGAGATTGATAGTGAGATCGGAAGTGAGATCGATGTTGCGATTGATAGTGAGATCGTTTGAGATACTTATCGAGTGAGATCGATGGTGAAATCCATAGTGAGGCATCGGGACCTCATGGGTCCGCGCAATGATACATATCGGAAAACGGCCCGAGTCCCAAACCTGTGCGGCCACCCCGAATCCCCACTGACTCCCCTGAGATCCGACGTTGCGGAAAATCACAGCATCGCTAAAAATCACGACCCGAGCCCTGTAGACGCCATCTTTCTGCGGCACTCCTCGGGCAGGATCGATCTGCGTTGGCCCTCTGGCCGCCGAGGTCAGGTCAGGTCAAGCCCGTGCGCCGAAGGCGGGCCCACGAAGGGCGCATGCGGTGGCACTCGGCAGCGTGATATACACGCGAGCGCCACGATCACAGGAAGCAGCACGCGCGTCCAGCAGAGGGGGGGGGGCTCCTTTACGTGGCGTGCTCGTTCACATGGCGTGCTCACGGGCCCGGGGCGAAAACGCCCGGCGAGAACAAACCACAGCGCCCAGACCTCAGGCTCACCCGCACGGTGCGGCCACCGCACCGCCCCCAGGCCCCCTGCGCCGCGATTTTTCCAGAACGTCGACGACCGGATTTTCATCCTGAGACGTTTTTTTGTGACGGTCCCCAAGCCAAAAGCCAAGTAAGGGCTCCGCAGAGGCCGAACAACAGCGAACACCTCCCATGATGTTTTCCCATGACCCGAGAGCGTCTGGGTCCGGGCCCCCCCCTGAAGTCCTCCACGCTCGGAGGCGGCGCGGCCTCGCGAGGCGACGCCGCGGCAGCGGCCACCCCCGCGGCGGCCTCCTCCAATAGAAGAAAGAAACATATCACGTAAACTTTTCGGAACTCCGCGCGGATTGCTTGGGATCGGCGCTGGATCCCCTCCCAGGCGCGAGGAGCGCGCCAAGGGGCTCCACCGCCGATCCTGGCAAGGCGCGCCCGACCTCCGAAAACTTCTGCTTATGCTGACGCCAATGTTGCTCATCGTGTTTCTGTTGATGTGAAGATGTATGTGTATGCTGATTCTGATTGGACGCCCGAATCATCCGCGACTGCGGTCCAGGGTTACTCCGGTTTGGACACCGAGGCTCGAATCTGTAGGTACCCCTGACTGCCCCAAGCCCTACTGATTCGGGAGGGTTGGACGCCTGAATCATCGAAGATAACTGCGGTCCAGGGTAACTCCGGTTTGGGCACCGAGGCGCGAATCTATAGTTACCCCTGACCGCCCCGAGCCCTGATGATTCGGGGCACCGAGCTGATGCCAGACTAAATGTGTATGTGTATGTTCATGCTGATGTCATTACACGTCGGTCGGATGAAGCAGGTAAAAGCGTGCAGAAGGCATAATGATCGAGCACGTTGGGTTCAGGCCCTCCCAGAGGAATGCCAGAACACAGCCAGAGCAGACCCATCCTTGAAGCAGGAAGGCCCTCGAAGTAGACTGAGACCTGGGAGTTCAAAGACACCAGCTTTCAACGACCGACGCGCGTTTGCTCCACTCGGGGCCCACCCAAGGGGCGGGGGGACCCTGAGGGGGGGGGGGGAGTTCGATCCGCTGGCACATCGAATTTCAGAAGAAAAAAAACAAGGCCCCCCGCGCTCGGGCCCCGGCGGCGGCCGCAGACCTCGTTCTGCACCGTTCTTTGTGCGGTTCGGTGCGCCAGCGGACCGAGCTCCCCCCCCCCCCCCCCCTGTGGCACCCCTCCCCTTGGCGCTCGGAGGCAGCTGCTGGGAGGTCTTCGTCGGAAAGATCGAGGGAGATGAAGCCCCATTTGGGAGCTGTTACGCCCGAGTGGGCCTCGGACTAAGCAGGACTAAGCCGGATTCAGCGGGATCAAGCGGGATTTGAGCCAGATTCAGCGGGCTTCAGTCAGCTGGATCAGGCCGGATTTCGGACCAGGACAGAAGCAGGACCTGACCTCCCAGGACTTGCGCCCGAACTTGCGAGGCCTCCATCCGCGGCTCCTCGCGCGAGTCCGCGCCGTGCTCCCGCGGCGCCCCCGCCGGCGCCGCGCCGCCGGCCGGCGGGGCCGCCGCCGCGGCCCCCGCGGGGGCCTCGGCCTCGGCGCCCGGCGCCCCCAGGGCGGCCGCGCCCCGGAGCGCGGAGACGCAGTAGATGGCCGGACGGCGCCAGCCGTGAGATTTTTTGGGGGCAGTTTGGCCTCCCGGGGGGGCATTTTGAAGGCATTTTGAATGCATTTTGGCCTCCCGGGGGGGGGCATTTTGGCCTCCCGGGGGGGGCATTTTGAACGCATTTTTGAAGGCGGTTTGAAGGCACTACGGCCCCTCCTCGGATCCACCTCCTCCACGATGACCCCAAGATGGCCCCCGAGGCTCCCGAGGGTGCCCCAAGACCGCCCCAAGAGGTGCCCAAGAGGTGCCCGAGAGGCCCCCGAGAGGCTCCCAAGAGGCCACCAAGAGGCCCCCAAGAGACTCCCAAGAGACTCCCAAGAGGACGCAGTAGATTGCTGGAAAACGCCAGCCGTGAGGTTTTCTCAGAAGCCGAGCGAGGGCTGGCAAACCCGTGGATGCTAAGACGGAGCTCCAGGAAATTGTTTCTTTCCTTCTGGGAAACAGCCCGCCTATTATTTAGTGCAAGGAGGTAGATTCCGGGCGCTTGTTTTTTCTTCTGGGAAGGCCGTTTTAGCAGCCACGGATTTGCCAGCCCTCGCCCAGCTTCCGATTTGGGTTGACCCAAAAATGGGTCCAGCTGAAAGGGGGTGGTGCAATAGAGTTCGGGCAATTGTATTGCAAACGTATTGCGCCGGAGAGCTATATATTGCACTGTATTGCAAGTAGTATGTTGCACGCGGAAATCCAGCGCAATACATCTGCGCCCCGGAATGTATGGCACGCCCCAAATGTATTGCAACCCCAAAAATCTACTGCACCAAATATATGGGGGGGAGGGGAGGGTGGGGGGAGGGTGGGGTCCGGCTCCGGAGCTCTGCTGAAGGCGACTGCTTGCAGCAGTGCGTCCTATGGAGGAGGCTCCACCTGCTTGAGCCAGGCGCCACAAACAGCCAAAATCTACTCCATTCGGGGGGTGCGAGGTCCCCAGCCGATCGGCAAAACAATGAACAATAAAACGATCACTCATGAGGAGAGGCGATAAGCCTACACCCCCGCGAGTCTGGACAAAGATCACGACGGGCGGTGCTTCGCAGTTTTCGGCCTCTGGGTGACCTTACTGGGCCTCGGGGCCGCCCAAAAACGCCTCAGGATCAGAATCGGGTCGCGAGGAATGGGTCCGTACCTCCGGAGGTCGACGTTACGGAGAAATCAGGCGCACGGAGCAGCACCGATCGTGCTCCTTTTGGCCCCAGGGTGCCCCTTTGGAGCACGACATGTGCACATGTCTCTGCACCTCCCCATGCGTCCCTCCCCCTCTACACCTTTACACAACACCCGGATTGCGCTGTATAGTTATGTCCCTTCCAGACGCTGCAGCCCAAACTATCCGCGACCGCAAGTTGCTAGTACTGTTAGATCGGGCATGTCGTCCTGCAGGCGGTCTTTGGACGAACATTTGCAAATACCCCCAAACCATTCAAACATATGAAAAAAGGTAAAACAAAAATCGCCCCCAGACTATGTTCGATTATTTTTGAACATCCCTCCTGTAGAGGGACACGCCCGACTTCATGCCAGCACTGGATGTCGGGCGCGCCGAAGTTCGGTCGCGGCCGGCGCGGATCGAATCTCGGTGGCGAGGTGACGGCGCGTCGTGGCCCAAGCGAGGGTTTCGAGGCTCTGTCGACGGCTCGCTCGTTGCTGGAATTCGCGACGAGAGGCAGAATTCCGGGGCACTGCCCAAGAATTTCGGTAAGCGATGACATGTTGTGAAGAAAATCCCAGAGGCCTCGCGCGGCAACTTGAGTTCCGATTTACGTCGGGTCCACGTCGGATTTCCGTCGGGTTCACGTCGGACTACGTCGGATTCACGTCGGATTTATATCGGACTGACTCCGGAGCATCGCCGCGCGAGCGTCGACCCATAGCTTACGGAACTGACAAGTGGACTAGATCGTACTACCGTAACGCTCCGTTCGAGGCCTCAAGGATTTTCCTCATAAGACGTGGGATTGGTCGTTACCCGGGGAGGTAAGGGCCCAAGAAGTGGGCGTAACCCACCTTGCGATCCGACGATGCCAAACATACAACAATTCGAGAAATCACAACCTGAACAATTTCTTGTACTGTCGGGTAGCGATCGTTACCCGAAGGGGTTGGGTTGGGGCCCCTGGTAACGGTTACGCTTGGGCGTGGTGTTAGGTCGGGCCTGTCCCCCATACAGGGGGATCTTGGGCGAAAAATTAAAAATACTCAAAAAATGCCCCCCAAAAAATAAACAACAAATCATCCCCAGACTATTGTTTGACTACTTGTGAATATTCCCCCTGTAGAGGGACAGCCCAGAACTTAAGCGTGGTGGGGTACGTTGGGACGGGGGTGCGCTGCGATCGCCTAAGTCTGTGCGCGAACGTCCGCACGTGGGTGGGGAGGTCCAGGCCCCCCCCCCCCCTGCGAACGATCGTTCCCGTTACTGGCAGGGGGGGGGGGAAGAGTTACCGGGGAACTACTCCAAATCCCTTATTAATCGACCCCCCCCCAAAAGAAACCGGACCCCCTCAAAATGAGACCTAATATTCCGGACCCCCCTCTTCGACGGGGCGCCTTGATAAACCGGACCCCCTGAGCTCCAATCCAAAGAAAACGCCCTAATAAACCAGAACCCCCCAGTTGCAAAAAAGGCGCCTAACAAAAACCAGACCTGGGGGACGATTAATAAGGGGTTTGGAATACCCTGACATCCGGGCGTTGCAACATTTTCGAGCTGGACGCTGTCGCCTAACATCGGGCCATGGGACCACCACGGATCGATCTGGCTCGAGAAAGACATGCCCCGGAAAAATTGTCTACAAGGCTCCGGTCGCTGTACGTCCTGAGGGGTGTACCAGACGAGCTTGGTACACGCTGCCGTGCGTGGCAGCACACGTGGAGGCGTCGACCCTGAGATCCGACGCTGCAGAAAAGAGAATGCGGCATCGCCAACAATTATAACCAACGCCCTATAGACCATATCCTCCTGCGGCATTGCTTGCAGCCGAATCGATACATGATGGTCCCAAGGCCTGAACCAGGCGACAACGCCCGGCTCAAAAGCAACGATTACACCAGAGGAAAGCCCAAATCAATGAATGGTTTTAGCTGAAGAGATCGACCGGGAACCCTGGAACCCTGGAACCCAAAACCCACCGAAATCGGCCCGGAACCAATAACTGGGAACCCGGGAACCCAGAACCGGGAACCCGGGAACCCAGCCTGCTACCAAAAATCGCCGGGAAACTTCCGCCAAATCCTGCAACTTCCGCCAGGACCCCTTCAGTGCAGGCACCGCTTGGGGAATGGAAGTCGCGGCGCCCAGATCTCGGTGCACGGCCAGCGCCGGCCGGGATGAACACGATGCCCGCCACCGAGAGCAGCTCCCCGAGCACGACGTTCAGCAGGAAGGGCACGGCGCGCCTAGAGGACAACAAACGGCTCAAAGTAGAACCTTGCGGAGCTCCGCGCGGACTTCGTGGACCAGCACTGGGCTTAGGTCGGGCATGTCTTCCTACCGTATTCGGCCTAACCTAAGGAACGATAAATGAGGAACGAAGCCCCTTTTTTAATCCCAGTAGATCTGGGAAGTCCGAAGGAACACCAGGGTGGCGCGCCGCCAAAAAGGTAGCAGAACGCATGCAAACCAAAGGAACGACCGAGCCCCTTTTGAAAAGTAAGTGTTCCTTATTCAAGCCGGACCCTGTACTACAGGCGGATCTTGGTCGAAAAATACCAGATACGCAGCAAATGCAAAAACCAACTAACAAAACAAACAAAATAGTCGCCAGACTATGTTTGGCTATTCTTGAATTTTCCTCCTGTAGAGGGACGTGCCCGACTTAACAATAGCGCCAGGACCTCGACACCTACACTTCAGTCAAGGCTTTAAACAGCCAAGATGTGCCTAGAAGTCTGGAGGGCTAATTTTCCCAGGCGCGAAAACATATAACGTGGCAACAAAAAACAAGACCAGAGCGCAGGACCCCATCTTGATTAGCCCGGCGCGAAAACATGTAACGTGGCAACAACCCGACCAGAGCCCAGGACCCCATCTTGCTGCGGCACGCTTTGAGCTGGCTCTGTCTGTGAAGGTCCCGGGGCCCAAACCTGGGCAAGAAGCAGCCCGGCGCGAAAGCAGATGCAGCGCCCGGATCTGACGGAGGGCCGGGGGCGCTTCTGCCCAGAGATCCGACGTCGTGTTTTTTTCAACACGGGGTCCCTGGAGGTCCCGACCCCTTCCACGGGTCCAGTTTTTCATCCTGAGTCGTTTCTCGGCGGTCCTGAGGGCCCCTATAGAGGCCGAAAAGGGCGAAAGACCCCCGCCTTGCTTTCTTCAATGAGTCGGACCTCTGGCCGTCTGCGCCGCTCTTTCTCTTCTCCCCGAGCGCCGCACGGCGCCGGAGGGCAGCGCGGCCTGGCCCACGTACATGCCCCGCGCGCCGCAGACGGTGAGCAGCGGCAGGGCCACGCCCCACAGCGCCCCCGCGCCCGCGACGCGCGCGAGGCGGCAGGCGTGAGCGCAGGCGGAGGCCGCCAGCGCCCCGGCCCAGTCCGCCAGCGTCAGCCTCGAGGGGGAGGTAAGGGCCCGGGAGGTGGGCGTGCCCCACCTTGCGATCCAACGCTGCCAAAAATGCAACATTTCGAGAAGTCGCAACCTGAGCAATTTCTTGTATCGTCGGGTAGCGATCGTCGGATTTGGGACGAAAAATGAGAAATGCTCAAAAAATACGCCAGAATGGTCAAACAGTGAAAAACGCTAAAAAAACATTCCAAAAGGGCTCAGGAAGTGGGCGTGCCCCACCCGGAGATGCGACGGTGCCCAACACTTTCGGTAGCCGGTGACATGTTAGGAAGAAAATCCCAAGGAGGCCTCGCGCGGCAGCTTGAGACCCGCTCTACGTCGGATCCACGTCGGAGTTACGTCGGGCTCACGTCGGGCTACGTCGGATCCGACGTTGCCAAAAAAATGCAGCATGCCGAGAAGTCGCAACCTGCACAACTTTCTTGTATCGTCGGGTAGCTATCGTTACCCGAAATGGCTGGGTCGGGGCCCCGGGTAACGGTAACGCTTGGGCGTGGTGTTAGGTCGGGCCTGTCCTCCTACAGGGGGATTTTGGACGAAAAATGAAAAACGCTCAAAAAACATTCCAAAATGGTCAAACAATACTCAAAAAGTCGTTCCCAGGCTATTTTTTGATTGTTTTTGAACATTCCTCCTGTAGAGGGACAAGCCCGACTTGAGGCAAAACCCTGAGGTCTGGGCGTTGGAACTTTGCCACGGATGCCGATGCCGCTGCTCGTCCTTGAGCGAGCCCTCGTCTCCACCAGTGGACTCTCCGCGACACTCGGGTCAGAAAGAGGCCCCTTCGGGGCCCTCTGATTGTGCACCCCCCAGTGCCTCTCGCCCGAGCAGAAGGGATGGGGTCTGCGGCTCCCGTCGGGATCCTTGGCGATGCTGCCTAACTCCTGCACGTAGACGACGCGCGACGGAAGGGCCCGAGGGGGCCGAAAGATCGGCGGTGGACAAACCTCGCTCTAGCAAACCGCCCCTTCGTGAAAACGGCCCAGGACCGAAACCGGCGGACCTGGACCCGCAAAAATCACGGCCGCGACGCCCTCTCGCGTTCCGAAAACGGCCAATTCGCTCATCGGCGCGTCAGGGCAGGAGGCCTGTCCACCTCCGACGAGAGAGCGAGGGACGGGCCCCAAGAACCACAGTTGGGGGTGCCAAAACCGTGTGGTGACAGACCCGGCGATGACCTCGAAATCCCCCAAAGACGTCACCGCAGGGTCCCTCAAACCGCACGGTTTTGGGACCCTGGAGGCCCCCGTCGCCCGAGACATCCTCGGAGAGCGACCCAAGTCCCAAAACCGTGCGGTGACCCCGAATCCCCACCGACTCACCGCACGGTGTGGTCACCACCCCGTTTGGGGGCCCCGAGAACCACAGGCAAGCGCGGACACAGGCATAAGCGAGCGGAGGGACACGACCGGGGAGGTCCCCACGCACGTCCCGGATCGGCGCTGGGCCTCCCCCGGCGGCGCCCCTGGCGCCGCCCCCCGGCGCGCCAGAGGCGCGCCATGGGGAGGGGGGGAGCCCTCGGCGCCGACCCAAGAGCCCCATGTCGTGTTGCTCCCGTCGTACTTACGGCCCACATCCCAGGAACAATCTCGAGCGCCAGGTAGAGTGTCGGGGAGCCCTCGGCGCCGACCCAAGGGCCCCATGTCGTGTTGCTCCCGTCGTACTTATAAGGGCCACATCCCAGAAACAGTTTCGAGCGCCCGGGAAAGTGTCGGGAAGCCCTCGGCGCTGACCCAAGCGCCCCATGTTGTGCTGCTCCCGTCGTACTTATAAGGGCCACATCCCAGGAACAATCTCGAGCGCCTGGTAAAGTGTCGGGGAGCCCTCGGCGCCGATCCGGGCCCCATGTTGTGTTGCTCCCGTCGCACTTAAGGACCACATCCCAGGAACAATCTCGAGCGCCCAGAGAAGTGTCGGGGAGCCCTCGGCGCCGATCCGGGCCCCATGCTGTGCTAAGGGACCACATCCCAGAAATAATTTCGAGCGCCCGGAAAAGTGTCGGAACAATGTCGGACGAGTGTCGGACGAGTGTCTCCCAGGGCCCGACACGTGAATACCATTGAGTTTCGGTACCTTTTTGAGGGCTCGAAATTATTTCTCGTGTTCAAGGCCAAAGTATGCTGGAACATCATAAGCCCCATGGCGACCTCAGGGGGGCGTGCTCTGCGTAGACCGGCACGAACTCGAAGGAGTGCCCGCACAGCTCGCAGCGCGGGTGGCGGCCCTGCCGCTGCAGCCAGTGCTGCAGGCACGACCCGTGGATCCACTTGATGCTCCCGGCGCAGCGGCACGGGCAGTACAGCTTCCCGGCCTCCTCCAGGAAACAGGGGGGCAAAGACGGCGCCGCAGGCACAAACCCGGGCCCAGCGCCGATCCCAAGAAATCCGCCTGCAGCTCTGGAACTTCATGTACGTCCCCCAGAAGCTGAGATGTTTTTTGTTGTTGTTGTTGTTGTTGTTGTTGTTGTTGTTGTTGTTGTTGTTGTTGTTGTTGTTGTTGTTGTTGTTGTTTTTGTTGTTGGTGTTGTTGTTGTTGTTGTTGTTGTTGTTGTTGTGTTGTTGTTACTTGGGCCGCGGGGACTCTTCCTCGCCCCTTCTGTCCAACCTGCCTCCATCTCCTCTTCCCACGCACTCAGACCCACACCCACTTACAACACGTAGACTCACTTTTACCAATACTCACTCACTCACACTCATACTCACTCGTGCTCGAACTCACTCGTACTCAGACTCAGTCACATCACTTACCCCCTCAGACTCACTATTCCTTTCACGTAGACTCAGTCACATCACCTTCTCACTCAAACTCACGCGCGCCCAAGATCCACTTACGCACACAAGCTTTAAGGATGTTTCTGGGGAGGTGCTGGCTGGAGCACTCGAATGGGGGAATCGCAATAGAGTATCTCATACATCCGTTCGCGTCCAGATTGCAGGGATGTCTCAGGCGGGTTGCCTGTTCGGGCGCCCAGAATGTCTCGGGCGGGACGCCGGTTCACCACTTCAAAAAAAAACGCCACGGGGTGTCTCAATCCTCCGTTCGCGCCCAGATTGTGGGATGTCTCACACGGGTTTCCTGCTTCAGCCCCCCAGGTTTTGTTTTCTTGGGTGGTCCAGTGATCAATGCGATATAGCAGGCGTGACAGGTGGGCACCCCAAACGGGGGAACCGTCACGGGCGGAGACACTCCAAGGTTAGCGCCCACATTGTGGGGGCACCTCAAGCGCTTTGCCCGTGTCTGTCCCCCAGATTTATATATTTTTCTGTGGTTCAATCGATACCCACCGCGATATAGCACGCATGGCACAAGGGCACCCCCAGGGGGATCCGCCAACGGTGGGGACACCCCAGGCTTCGCGTTTAGAGTAGGGGGCGTGTCTCAGGCGATTTGCCTTTTGTTGTCCACTGTTCACAATCATATCGGACGCGTGGAATGTGGGCTGGGGCGGGGACGCTTCAGGATTCGCGTTCAGATCGGGGAGGGCCTCCGGCGATTTGCCTGCCTTTTCCCCCCAAGAGTTCTCTTTGGACTTCCGTGCTCCGTACTCACTCACTCACTCGCCTGGTTCTCCTCCTCCTTCTCCTCCCCACTCCGGCGCACAAGGATTTTCTCATCCTCATTTACCCACCCATCCCTTTCTCACTCGTTCACAGTCATATTCTATGTTATCAAACTCGCACACACACTTAATCGCTCATAGTCTGACCCGCTCAAATTTAGAGTGACCCACACCCAGACCAACTCACGCGCAAACTGGTTCATATTCAGACTCACCAGCCTTCGGACTCACTCAAATTCAGACGACCACGCACCCAGGCTCATTCTCATTCAAATTTGTAGTCATGGCCTTCAAGCTCAGACTCACCCGCACTCAGACTCACATGTACCCAGACCCACTCGCACTTAGATCGCGAGCGCTCAGTCTCACTCGTACTCAGACCCACTCGCACTCACACTGACTGTATCCAGAGTCGGCCACACGAGTTCTCGATCGTACCCGCATCAGCTCACACTCCAACTCGCTCAAGCTGAGATCACACACGCTCATATTCACTCGCACTAAGGCCTACGCACACAAGTGACTACCGCGATATAGTCGGCGTGGTACTTGGGAGCCCCAAGTGCCAGCACCGCGAGTAATAGCACGCCAAAGAGTAGACGTAGCAACGCCATGTACGCTTGCCAAAGTTGCCGCGGGGAGAACGGCAATAATAACTCCCCCTCGCTCTTCCAATTGTGTTTCCTTCGTCTCTCCTGAAAGCTGTCCAAAGGAGGAGGAAGCGGAGAAGGAGGAGGAGGAGGCGGAGGACGTGACTGGAGTCGTGTCTGTCGTAGTCGTAACTGCAGCGCCTGTCGTCTACGCGGACTCGCTCTCACCCCCAGGTACTCATTGACAGAGTTCCTTAGCGAAACGTCGCAGGAATACGAGATGCACATGTTGAGACCTCCGCGTCGAGTACTGTAGCTCTTTGTTCTAGAGGGGGCCGCCGCGGGGGTGGCCGCAGCCGCGGCGTCGCCTCTCGAGGTCGCGGCGCCTCCGAGCGTGGAGGACTTACGGGGGCCCCCGTGGACCCACTCGGGAAGCTTGTACTCTCGGCAAGCCGGGGGATCCTTAATTGGGACCGGGACCATCCAAAAAATGACGCATGCTGAAAAACCGGTCCCAGGGAATGCGTCGAGACCTCTCGGGGTCCCCGATCTGGTGGCGTGTATCGCGGATTCTGGGTCGATGCTCCCCCTCTTTTAATCCCATTCCCCCTCCCGGACAACCAATGTCTGGGCATGTCTCAACACCTACACGTCGTTCATTTCTAACCGTGCTCATTGCTAAGTGTGCTCGTTTCTAACTGCTCCTGGCCCCCTAGTGGCCAGGAAGAGACCCAGGATGGAACCATTAGAAACGAAAGGATCCTGGCCTCCCCAGAAAACAACAAACTTTCGAAGAACTCGACATGAACGATGTGTACAGGATCCCCAGAAGTCCCGACCCTTTCCCGGGGGCTGGCTCGAAATGTTTCTTGACCGCCTCGCGGCCCAGCGAAGCCGCCCAAAGAGGGCCGAGAACGACTAAACAAAATACTCCGTCTGGACTCCCCAGTAGCGCTTCGCTCAAGAAGTGTGATGAAGGTTCGGAAGCAACTGCAGGGAGGTCTTCGTCGGAAAGACTAAGGAGGGTTAAGCCCCATTGCGGGGCTGTTGCGCCAGAGTGGGCGTCGGATTTAGCGGGCTTAAGCCAGACTAAGCGGGATTAAGCGGGATTAAACGGGATTTAACGGGATTAAGCCGGATTCAGCCAGATTTCGGACCAGGGTAGAAAATCAGAATTTGACCTCCCAGGAGTTGCATCCGAATAAAGGTACAGGAGGACCACAAAGAAGAGTCCCACAGGGGGGGACGGGAAGCCTGAGACCGCCTGGTCTGGCAGACGTCTCGCCGGAGACGTCCTCACAACTCGATCACCGTGCTCTCGCGCAAATGCCAGCTACATCCGCTTGGTCCTGACAGCCACGACACTGGTAAACAGATTCCATCCTTGAGTGGAAGCTGCCAGGCGCACTCCACGTGCGCACGGCACCGCGTTCCAAGTGGAACCCAACGGGGTTGCTGACCGACGTCCGAAAACAACCGAGCGTCCGACAATTCGCTCAGGACTCGTTCCATGAACGATGTAGCATACTGTAGCGGCCCTAGTGGGGAAGCCAAAAGGTACCGATGCTTCTATTTCCTCCTGGGTTGCGTGCTGACCTGGATTTCGAGGCGAATCCAGCGGTGGCGACGAGGGCCTCCGGGGAGGCCCAGAACGAGGAAAACGAAGGGAAGGGCAGCGGGCATGGGTACCTTCTCCTCCCCCGACCCAGAGGGGGGGCCATCACGACCTCTTGCTCCTCTGACTGTTGGGGCTCTCGGCTCCTCGCCCTGCCGGCAGATGCGGCAGCTCACCTCGTCCCTGTCGTCGTCGTCCTCCTCCTCCTCGGGGGAACGGCAAGCCGCACCATCCATGAGGACTGAAAAATACCACCGTGACCTCGGCATCTGCATGTCCCACGTCAAGCGTCTAGAAGGCAACTTTTGGCAACATTCTGCAAGGTCAGGGAAGGCTACCCATACTGGCACACCTCCCAAGACATCTCCGGCGGGGTGCGTCCGAACCAGAACTCCAAGAAGAATCCAGCCGTGGCGACGCGGGCTCTCCTAGACCCAGGCATCCGACGACGTGTGCTTTTTGCGCGCGACGTGGCTCCCCAGAGCTCTCGACCTCTTCCAGCATCCCAAATCGTTTCTTGACGGCCCCGTGCCCCTTCCACACAACGTGGCTCCCCAGGGCTCTCGACCCCTTCCAGGGGAGCGGCTGCTCATCCCAAGTAGTTTCTTGACGGCCCCGTGGTCAAGCAAGTCAAGGGCCCCGGGAAGCCGAAGATTGCAAAAACCTCCCGCCGTGATCTTCGTCACGACGCGAGGATGTCCGGGCTGGGGCGAGTGCTCCCCAGGACCGGCGGCGGCATCGGCATCTGTTCGCCTCCCCCGACCCTGACCTGCCAGGAGGGCTCCACGATACCACGAGGGCCTTGACGCCAAGATCCCAGTCGAGCTTCCAAGCAACACCAGAAAGCTGGAATCGGCGGTGGACAAACCTCCCTTTAGTAAACCTCCCCTTCGTGAAAAGCGCCTGGGACCGAAACCGACGGTCCTGGACCCGCAAAAATGACGGCCGCGCCGCCCCCTCGCGAACCGAAAACGGCCAATTCCTTAATCGACGTGTCAGGGTAGGAGGTCTGTCCAACCCCGATGGAAGGACACACGGCAGGACCACACCTGGAGCGCCCAGAGGCCACCCGCTGCACGCTGGTGCGGAAGCCTGGCCACCGAGCGCCAGGAGGGCCTCTGGCCACATGCCGATCCAGCTCTCCCCGAGGCTGGCCGCGCCATGTGTGCCCAGCCTCCTGGCAGTATAGTCATCGGCCTGACCTAAGGAACGATAAATAAGGAACGAAGCCCCTTTTTTATCCCAAGGAATAACGCAAAATGAACGATAAATAACAAATAACGCATACGGAACTGTAAATAACGCATGCAAGCCTAAGGAACGACCGAGCCCCTTTTGAAAAGTAAGTGTTCCTTATTCAAGCCGCTCACTGTAGTCTCGAAGGCGAGGCGAGATCCTCCACCTCCGCGCGGCGCGCCGTGCCCTCGCTGGTCGCAGCCTCGCCGCCCGCCTGGCTGTCCCGCGCCCGCGCCCTGGCCTCAAACCAACCTCGAGCTCATCCTCATGCCCCCAGGATTGGCGGGGAGCGGTTAGGACGGGACGCCGACCAAGAATCGGCGATGCATCGCCGATGGACCCGCGATAGGCCCCCGATAGTGAATCCGCACGTTCCTGGACGGGGGTGGGCTATCAGGTCCCGATCGGCGATCGATGTGCCATTGTGGGGGACCATGGGCATCCTCCCCTGGGCCCAATCCCCCCCAAACGTTGCCCCTGGTAAGATAGGCAAGCCCGAGACGACGGCCATCTCAGGGGTGCGCCCGCAGAAACTGGAGGAATCCTTCAGATTGGCACCAGTTCTGTGGCAACTCACGAGCGCCTCCCATACCATCTTGTTGGCTCTTGCGAATCGACGCTAATCGACGCTAGTCGACACTGAATCGACGCTAATGGGAGCTAGATCGACGCTAATCGACGCTAAGTCGGCACTCATCGACGCTAAATCGTCGCTTCCACATCGATCATCAGACGCTAGCGCACTCCAAGGACGGAGTAACGATGACATATAAGGCTCCCGTGAAGATACAATACCGAACACCGAGGCAGGTTGGTGTCAGTCACGGGGACAGGGACATGCTCGAGGCTGGTAAGGGGTGGCGAACGAACGACACACACACCATACTCATAGGGGGGACGGGGAGGGCTACGGGTGCGTGTTGCCGGATATGTGTCCCCGCTCGACCGGGAGCCTCCCCTGGGGTCCGACAACCGCACGTATACCCATATCCAGTCCTGCTCCCTCGGGCCTCCCATGGGCACGGAGGTGTGTTGTTCGTTCGTCGAGCGGCTCACCTCAGCCCCGCCGCCGCCGCCCACCGCTGGTGCGCTGGCCCGCAGCGCAGGGCCCTCGGCGGGATCCGGGACACCCGACGCCGTGACCTCCCTATAGACTGCGAGGCCTCCCAGATGTGGTCCGTGAATCGAGCGGGTGTTGGCGGCGCGCACGAGGGAGTGGAGGGAGGGGGGAGGGCTTCTTAGAAGGAGGCTGCTTCTTAGAAGGCGCCGGCCTCACATCTATACAGAAGGCCCGCGCCTTCTAAGCAGCAGGGGTACTTCTAAGACGCCCTCCCCCCTCCCCCCACCCCCCTCTGCGCGTGGCTGAGGGTGGTGACGGGGGGCGACCTCACTGGGGGGTGCAGAAAGGGACCCTTTGGGGTTCCTTCTGGGCCGCCGACGGCTCGCGAAGGGGCCCCCGAGGGCTCCAAAAAACGGCCTCTGCAGGTCCTCCCCCCCGAGTACCACCCGCACGATAGAAGATGCATCGGCGATGCGGCTCGATGTGGAGCCCGACTTTCTCCACGCCCACATCGCCGATGCATCGCAAACGTCGCCGATGCACCGCGGATGCCTCGCCGATGCCTCGGCGATGCGGAGCGATCCTCCAAAAGCCCATCTACGCGGACCCCATCTGGGAGGCCTAGAATCATGCAGATCCTGGGAGGTCTTCGAGCCCGATGAGGCCAGATCCAGCGGGATCCGGCAAGAGGATAAGGGAATTCTGCCAGCTTGGGCGGGTGAGCGATCACGGACCTACCGGCGCCGATGCTGAATGAAAACCGCCCAGCGGCTGCGTGCGAACTCTCTGCCTCTCGGGTTCCGGCGGCGGCCGGAGACCTCGTTTTGCGTTGTTTTTGTTCTGCGGTTCGCTGCGCCAGCAGACCGAACTCCCCTCCCCCCGTTAGGGGGCAGGGTTCGCATGTGGCCCCCACCCCCGCGGCACCCCCCACCGAACTCCCCCCCCCCTGATCTTCCAGAGTGCCATAAAATAGCCCTCCAGACCTACACACCTATCTGGACTGCCCAAAACCTCGGCAGGAATGGAGGCGCCAGGGTCCTGGGGCTAGTCTTGAGCCCTCGCGGAAGGTCCGGGCCCGTGCCCCCCCCCCCCCTCTTGGCGAGGTCCCGACTCTGGAGCCGGCTCTCGGGCCCCGGGACCATCGGACACAGATCCGAGACGGCAGACTGCCTCCGGGGAGGCGTTCGGGGGCGCCGGGGGCCGCGGGTCGCAGCGGTCCCCTCGGGGGATGTCTGGGTCGGCTACGTTTGCGCAACGCTCGGGCGTGGGCAGAACCAGGCTTCGTGGGACCTGGTTCGGGGATGTGTGCTGGGGGGCGCCCCCCCCCCCGCCCGTTCCACTGACCCGAACTGCCGCCACCCGAAAAAACACCAGTTACGGCAGACCTGGTTTAGCGATTGTGGCCAATTTAGGGGCTCCAGGGCCCTACTACCAACCGGGGCCCCTTACCTGGGGTCCTGGCTATACCCGAAACGTGTCTCCCCTATCGAGTGCGCCGAAGAGTAAGATGGGGGGGCAGGAATGGCAGGGTTAGCGTTGGGTCGAGCATGTCCCCCTACAGGCCGATTTTGGGCGAACAAAAAATACCCCCAACAAAACATTGAAACATGGCCCCCAAACTTGAAAAACTCGTCCCCAGCCTATTGTTTGACTGTTTCTGCATACTCCTCCTGTAGAGGGAAGGAAAGTGCCCGACGGAAGGTCAGCGCAGCATGGACCGAGGCACGTGCACGGACGAGGGGAGACGCGCTGAAGCAATGGGAGGCAGGAAAAGAAGAAAGAGAAGAAGAGGCCATGAGGTCCGGGAGGCTTCATGGCCCCAATCCAGTCCCCTCCCCCAATCCTCACCCCCCCCTGCCTCGCCGCCCCCGCCCCGGAGCAGTTCTTCTGAACCGGGCGAGTTGAGCAGGGACCGACCGTCCTGGCATTCCTGATGTGATAAAACAAGACAGACTCCGCCAGAAATGTTCTCAGAACATTTCGTGGAAAGCACAACAGGTTCTTAGAGCACTGTTTGGTAGGGCTATAGGCGAGCCAGGACGCTTTGCCACTGCTTGAGCGAGGGCCCCCCCGGAGGCTCAGACTTGCCCCCCCCGCGCAACTCCTGCAAGCGATTCCGGCCGCGACGCGAGGACGTCTGGGCCTGGGACCCCCTTCGGGGGTGGTGCGCTCTGGCCAGGGTTCGATCGGGCGTGTCCCCCTACAGGCGGACTTCGAACGAACAATTAAAAAGAGTCAAACAACTTGCTTTAATGTTCTAGAATACTCAAAAATCGTACCCTGCCTACTGTTTGCCCATTTTTGAACCTTCCCCCTGTAGAGGGACAGGCCCGACTTAAGGCCAGGGACGCTCCAGGCACCCCAGCCGTGGCCACGAAAAGCCTCCCCTGGAGGCCGCCAATCAGGGGAGAGAAGAGAACCGTCCAATAGCTCGATCCTCGAACCCCTGGGGGGCTAAAACTCGCACCTCCTCCTCCTCCTCCTCCTCCTCCTCCTCCTCCTCCTCCTCCTCCTGGGGGGCTAAAACTCGCACCTCCTCCCCTCCTCTCCTCCTCCTCCTCCTCCTCCTCCTCCTCCCCTCCTCCTCCTCAGCATCCGCCTCCTCCTCCTCCTCCACCTCCTCCTCCTCCTTTTCCTCCTCCTCCTCGTCGAATCGAATCGAACCGATATGGTCGCCGATGTGGTTCTCTTCTGTGCGCGGCCCCAGGAGGTCCCGACCCCTTGCCCCCGGGCCGAGTCTCTCGCCCCGCGGGTCCACTGATGGTCCTATAGGGCCCGATAGCGTGCCCCAGGGGCCGTGATGGAGGCACAACACCCCGATGGAACAACATCGCATCGTCAGAGAGCTTCCATCTCCTCCTCCTCCTCCTCCTCCTCCTCCTCCTCCTCCCCTCCCCCCCCTCCCTCCCCTCCTCCCCCTCCCCTCCTCCTCCTCCCCCTCCTCCTCCCCCCTCCTCCCCCTCCCCCTCCCCTCCTCCTCCCTCCTCCTCCTCCTCCTCCTCCTCCTCCTCGGAGCTCGAACCGAAACCTCTCCCCCCAAAAAAACCTCCCGCCGCCATTTTGCCACGGCGGGGGGATGCCCGCGGGACGCGGCCTCCGCCGCGCAGGCCTGCCGGGCGCCCCGGCGCCGGCGGTAGGCGACCTTTCTGCCAGCACGGAAGGCGGGTGCTGGACTCGCGGCCCTTCCTCGGGTTGATCCAAAGCGGGGTCCAGCTGAATCAGGTCGGACGAAAGGGGGGGATAGCAAAGGGGGGGTTTGAGAATCAGCTCACGTAGCTGATTTTCCCAGCGCCTCCCGGCGCCCGAGGCGGCTATGTATCGAAGTATGGGCCCCTCGGTCAGGCCAACACCAGCTGCATGCAGCAAATTTCGTAACCCCCCCTTTCCCAATCCCCCCCTTTCGCCCGGCCCGACTGAAAGGGGGTGGTGCAATAGATTTGGGGCAATTGGATTGCAAATGTACTGCGCCGGAGAACTCCATTGCATTGTGCGCGAGAATCCAGCAATACATGTGCGCCCCGGAATGTATTGCGCGCCCCGCATGTGTTGCAACCCCATCAATCTATTGCACCAAATCTATTGCACCACCCCCCTCTCACTGGACCCCCTTTTGGCTCAACCCGACTTCCCCGACCCTGACCCTCCAGGAGGGCCAACTAAATGGAGCCAAGACCTCAACATCCACTCCGTCCGAAGTCTTCGGCAGCCAGGATAGGTCTGCTGGCCTGGAGGGCTACATCTAGCACTCTGGAAGGTCGGGCTGGAAAAGCTCTTCATCCCGAGTCGCCATCCGACGGTCTGGGGGAACACAGGAGGCCAAACACCGCGAACAGCACGAGGACCCTTCTTATACTGTTGGCCAGCGTGGAAACCAAACAATGAGTTATGCAATATGGATGTGCATGCTATGCTGTGGAAGCTGCGAGGTGCAAGCAATAGTGTAAGCTTTGCGGTGTGAGCAATGCGGTGCGGGTGTAAGCTATGTGGTGTCAGAGACATGGTGTCATCTTCGCGGTGTGAGCTATGTGATGTAAGCTATGCTGTGAACCTGCGTGGTGCCAGCCATGCCGTGCAAGCCCTGCGGCAACCATGCTGTGCAAGCTGTGTGGTGCAAGCTGTGTGACGCGAGCTGTGTGGTGACAGCCAAGCCGTGCAAACCCTGGCGACGCCAGCCGCGCGACGTGAGCTCTACGCGGTGCGAGCCACGTGGCGTGAGCTGCGCGCGCTGCATGTCGTGAAAGCGACCTGGGGTACAGTACGCTGTTGATGTGGTGCGCAAGTGCACGGAGCGCGCCCGGGGGGGCGCCCGCGAGCGGGCACGCGCGCTGCCGCGCAGGGCCTTTGGGCTCCATCGCGCGGCGAAGACTCGGGCACGCAGCAGCGCCCCCGAGGCACCCGCGGCGAGTCCTCGCCGAATCCCCCTCCCCGGCGCCCACGCGGCGCCCACGGGGCGCCCGGGCGAGCGGGCACGGGCGCCAGCGGGGGGAAGCCGCGGACGCCTCCCAGCGCGCAGGGGGCGCCCACGAGGCGCCAAGGCGCGGACGCCATGAACAGCCCAATGTCGCGTGGGGCGCCCACGAGGCGCCACGGCACGGACGCCAGCGCGTGGGGCGCCCACGTCTGCGCAAGGCGCAAACCCGGGGAACACAGTGCAAGGACGGAAGCGAGCGACACAAGAACGCCGAAGTGCGAGCAGGGACTGGCTGAGGATTCAGCGACGCAGCTGTCGGAGGGCCACGCGGAGTTCCTGGACCGGCGCTGGACACCCCCTCTCTCTGGCGCGCAGAACGCGCGAAGTGCGGCGCCAGAGGCGCCGCCAGGGGGCCCAGCGCAGACACGAGAACTCCGCGCGCACTTCCGCGGATGATTCTTCTTCGACGTTTGCTTGAGTCCTCGATCCTGAATTCGAACATTCCTGGGCGCACTGGTATATCGGTCCCCCAACGGCGATTGATGGGAGATTGGGAGTCGATGCGTTTCCCCCTGATCATTTTCCCGTTATCCCAAGTCCCCAGCGTCGCGATTGTTCCGCAATGTGGCCTCCCCGAGGTCTGAGCCCCTTCCTCCAGACCAGATTCTCAACCCGAGCTGGTCTTTCACTGCCCCAGGGTCCTGGTCTAAGCCCCAGAGGGCCGCAGATTGCCAAACGCCTCCCGTCGTATAGTTGCTTCAACGACTCAGGGATGTCAGGTCTTCGGCCCATAACTCGGGCCTACGGCGGCCGATCGCCACGATCTGGGCAAACCATGGAACGCTTTCGACGAGGCGTAGCTGCTAGAAGGCACCCCTCCAACAGCAAACGAACACGTCCACAAACCTTCTGTCCTGATAACTTCACGATGTACGAGGTCTCACATTCAGGCGGATCAATTCGTTCGGGCCAGAATTTCGAAGCGGATCCAGCCGTGGTGACGAGGAGCTCCCATGAAGACCCCCACACAAACCATAAAAGTCCAAACTCGAACATGGAACCTTCGATCCTCGATCGGTGCTCGGAGAAGGGTGGGTTAAGACAACGGCAGCTCAAGATCGGCCCATAGAATCCTCCTGGGGTCTAAACGCACCAATTATCCAAGCCGCGTCCAGCCGTGGTGACGAGGGGGCCCTCCAAAGGCCAACTCGTCCTCCTCTGACCCTGACCCTCAAGAGAGATACAGAACAATCCAGATCTGTCGACCTTTCTGGGCTGCTCAACACCTCGAATATGATGTGAATGCAAAAACCCTGATGCTGTGTTGAAGCCCCACTGGAAAGCCAGGGGCGCCCACAAAGAACGTACGCGCCAAGCCACGCACATGAATACCGCCCTCCAGTCCGCGAGACAAGCCTCGTAATACAAACGTTCGCGATACGCGTGCTTCCCAAATGAGCATGGATTTATGTGACCGCGATACGTCTGTAGACCCCCTCCTATCATGGACATAAGTGCCGTTTCGACGCCCTTATCGACGGAGCAGGAGGAGGAGGAGGAGGAGGAGGAGGAGGAGGAGGAGGAGAAGGAAGGGAAGGAGGAGGAGGAGGAGGAGGAGGAGGAGGAGGAGCAGGGCAGGAGGAGGCGGACGAGGAAGAGGAGGAGCAGGAGGGGGAGGAGGAGGAGGACGAGAAGGAGGAAAAAGGAGAAGCAGGAGGAGGAGGAGGAGGAGGAGGAGGAGGAGGAGGAGGAGGAGGAGGAGTAGGGGGGAGGGGGGAGGGAGGGCAGGAGGAGGAGCAGGAGGAGGAGGAGGAGGAGGAGGAGGAGGAGGAGGAGGAGGAGGAGGAGGAGGAGGAGCAGGGGGAGGAGGAGGCGGAGGCGGAGGCGGAGGAGGAGGAGGAGGAGGAGGAGGAGGAGGAGGAGGAGGAAGAAGAGCAGGAGGAGGAGGAGGCGGAGGAGGAGGAGCAGGAGGAGGGGCGAGTTTTGGAAATTCGCTGGCCCAACGGGCCAGCGTCGTGTTGAGATCTCCGGTAACTGGCCCGCACTATTTCTAGCTCGCGCGCGCGGGACGGCCCCTGGGGGTCCCCGAACGAAAAAAACCCGGCAAGGTTCGGGCTGACTCCCGGCAAGGTCTCCGGAAGGATGCCGGAACTCCCCGGGGCGGTTTTCCGCACCCACAGAGCGGCCCAAGAGGGCCTCAAGAGGCCCCCAAGATGGTCCAAAAAGGCCCCGAGTCGCCGACCGATCGGTCCAAAACGCCCAAGATCGCCTCCACGCGGCCGCAGGCGCCTCGAAGATGCCTACAGACGCCTCCAAGAAGCGTTTCCACAGGGCCCCATGACACAGCAATCATCGATGTCCCACAGGTTTTAAAGGATTTAGACGTTTTCACCTGTTCGGCTTCCCGACGCTCCAGGACAGCCCAAGAGGTTCTGAACATCGCCCCTGGACGGCCCGAAAAGAGTTTCAAGAAGGTCCGATGACGGCCCAAAATGGCCCCAAGACGGCCCAACAGGCCTTCAAAGCACCCCAAAATGGCCCCCGGGATTGCCCCCAAAGGGAGCCCAAACGGAGAACCCGAAAGGACATTTCGAGCCCAGCTTCAAAAATCCATCCAAATTAACCCAAGAGACCTTCAAGAGGGACTCAAAGCAGCCTAAGCCCAAGAGGGCCGCAAGACGGTTCCAAAAGGCCGAAGGACCCCCTGTGACGCCCCAGGAGGTCCCAGAAATACCACCAAAACGCACCCGAGAACTCCCCCAAGAGGCCACACAAATGCCCCAAGAGCCATCAAGCGGCCTCCTTTCCTGTTTTTCGTCCCCCCTTGTTCCTCCTCCTCCTCCTGTTCCTCCTCCTCCTCCTCCTTTCCTCCTGCTCCTCCTGGCCCACTACGAGAGCGCCAACATACAGCAACACTGATACAAAATGGGCGGGCGGAGTGAGCGAAGCGACTCAATAATTATCGTTTCGACGCCCTTGCAGACGGAGCAGGAGGAGGAAGAGGAGGAGGGGGAAGAGAGGAGGAGGAGGAGCAGCAGGAGGAGGAAGCGGAGGAGGAGGGAGAGGGGGATGAAGGAAAAGGAGGAGGATGAGGAGGAAATGGAGGAACAATATGAGGAGGGGGAGGAGGAGGAGGAGAAGGAGGAGGAGGAGGAGGAGGAGGAGGAGGAGGAGGAACGGGAGAAAGAGGAGGCGGGGGGGGGGGGGGCACCACCCCCGTCAGCGCAACAGCTCCTCGGTGACGAACGAACCAAAGCGCCCTGGCGCGGATGGCCTGAATGGCGTGGTTTGTGGCAACAGGCCTCCCACACTGCCCTCTCCTGTGGGATGCATCGAAGGCACTGGAAAAAAAGATCTGAAGCGACAGCCCATGCATGGATCTGCTCACGAGCGAGACTAAAGGAGACACTGGCCGAAGATGTGGGCCACCTGCGGGGCAGGACGCTGGCAACAATATCGGCGCCCCAGAAGTCTGGGAGTTGGGGTTACAGCTTACGCGCAACTGGGCAGGGGGAAAAAAGGGAAATGGTGTCGGTCCCAGGACAGGAGCACCCGAAACACACACCCAGGGCTCTAGTTTGACGGAACCTCCGGATCGTTGGCCAAGCATTAAACAAGGTTTTGAAGATGGGCGTACTTATAAGGCTGGAGTGCTTCATACCTAAACTGTGGAGATGAATGATTGTCATATAAGCATCAGCAAGAGTACCGAATGTGCCCCACTATCCTAC